AGGCCAGACTCGAAAAGCCACGTGTACTGTTTAAATGCCGTGAGCTGGGCCAGTCTGTTACACACTTAATGAATGTTAACATCCACACTTGTGTCTCCTTTTCCATAACCGTGTTTTTTAGATTCAGTGTCGATGCCGTACCCTCATGTGTATCTACCTCCATGGATTACAAATCACCCACTGTTTATTCAATAAAACTTGTTAAATACCTATTGATTGACACTCAGATAGATTATAAATCATTCACCATTAATTCAGCAAATATTTATTGAGTACTTATTGATTCTCAAGCACTGGGTATATATTAGAGAACAAATGAGAATAAATTATTCCTGTCGTTGTAGAGCTTATATTGTAGTGAGGCAAACATTAAACAAAATACCTCAATAGGAGAAATGCATAGCTGTTAAATAACAGGAGGGGGGCATGGGGGAAGGGCAGCAAAGAAATGGGATGGAGAGTGTGAAAGGGCCAGTCTGGGAGAGGGCAAACCACGTGGCTTCAATGGGGGAAGACTGTTCGAGACCTAGGGAGTAACGGTGCGTGCAAAGGCCCTGAGTTGGAATGAACCAGATGACTAACACTTGTGGCGCAGAGCGAGCTCGGGGGAGAGTGGTGTGGGGTCTGAGAGGCTGGTGAGCCGGAACATGTGGGCCTTACAAGTTACAGTAAGGGCGTTGACTGTTCTTGGAGACAGACTGGAAACTGGGAAGTTTCGGAGCAGAGGCGTGCCTGGACCTGAGCTGTGTCTATCCAGGACCGCTGTGGCCGCCGTCTTGGACGGTGGGGAGTTAGGGCAGAAGTGGAGAGGCGAGGTAGGACAGTCCAGGTAAAATACAGTGGTAGCTCGGCGTGGGTGGGCCAGAGCGGGAGAGTGCATTCTGGATGCATGAGATGTGGAGTGGATTTGCAGAACTCCTTGGCATCTGTTTATTGGGTATTGAAATTCTGTTTAATATAGTGCAGTCAATCCTAAATTATGTATTATAGCTATAGTGTTAACAACACATTTCTTTACACGTCATCTACTGGTTCTTTTCTGTAGTGTTTGCAATGTCTCTGATATCATAGTGTTTTTTAATATGAAGTCTTAAAGGCATCATTATATTTGTTTTAAAAAGATAACTTTGCTATGTGTTAAATGTATAACCTTGCAGTCGATACTAAAAGTACTTTCCATTTTGGTCAAATTAAGTAGTGAGAAAGGACGTTTTCACACACTTCCCTCTTCTATCTCAGTTAGGAATAGTTCTTGAAATCTAGAACCTGAAGTTAGACTTTTCGGGAAATCATTTTTTAAGTTTTCTTCTCCTGAAATGAACATGCAAATGATCTGTAGGTTTGACGGAGAAAAGCAGGATCAGTTTTCGATTTGTGACTTCATTGGCTTCATGTCTTTTTTGTGTCATCTTGTCATCAATTTGAAAATTCAAGAATATTTCCTGAACTGACATTTTTATTTCATCACACCCCACCTTTTTCCAGAAAAGTTTTTAGGCAACTCACGGAACTGTTACAAGATGGCTTTGAGAATTTTTTCCAGCAGCCTGGCACTTCTGGTTCCCACACAGATGTGCAGAACGGGTCTCATTTGGTTCTTACCAGCTGCACGGCAGCACTTTAGTAGTAAGTGCTAATCATGTGACCAAGGTGACCTGGTATCCACACTATCCAAGTCTGCATCCCATGCTCCAAACTTTGCATGCTCCATACAGAAATTTGAATAGAAGTCATATTACCTGGAAACACCTGGTTTTGTAAAATTTTGTTGACTTTCTCGATACACACACGGCATAGAAATGTATAGGCATGTATTTTATATGTCTATATAAAAACAATCTACAGACTTCACTAAAGTTCTTTTAAACAGATGTTGTGAACTTTTCCCTATTAAATAGTATTCTTTAACAGTATCTTCAAGAATATGAATTTACAATAATTTTGTGATATATCCTATTTAAGCAGTTACATCTTTCACAATATTTAAGTTTCCATTATTTTACTATTGGAAGCTGCACTGTGGTAAACATCATGGCATAATTTTTATTTGTATGTGTTTTCAGTGGAGGATTTTGTGGCTGTGATTCTGTGGATATGGATGTGTCACGGGTCACAGTGATGGAGAGTTAGCAGTCGAGGAGACCACAGTCTCTTGTTTTATGGGGAAGAAGTCGAAGTGACTTCTTAACGTCTGCCGCCTGTTAGTGGTGGAGCGAATGGCGGTTAAGAGATCGGGGAGGGTGTGCTGGGTTCCAGTCCTGACTCCCGGTAGTAGTAGGAAGGCTTACTGAACTCTAACCAGGTGGCAGACCCTGTTGTAAGCAGTTTGTACTGCTATTAATTATTTTAATCTTTACCACAACTGCGTAAGGTAAGTTCTGTTATTAACCCTGCAATAGTGTGGATAAAACTGAACTTTTGAAATGTTAAGTTACTTGCCCAGCGCCACGTAGCTCGTATCAGAGCCAGGAGATAGCGCCAGCGGCCTGACACAGTCCACACCGCCAGGGCTGCCCCGAGCAGCCCTGGCGAGTCTGTGTGTCTGTTTTGTGTTAGTTTGTTTCTGCTGCGCAGCGCTGCAGTCCAGGGGTGGTTTGGGTTCCAGTAGTTTTGGGGTTCGAGAAAGATTATTTAGTGCATATATTCTATTTTGTTTAACAGTCCTGTTGGGGTTTGGAGCAGTATCTCATGAGCATGTTTGTTTTTGTAATAAGTGAGACTAAAAATCAGAAAAATGGCCAGAAGGGAGTACAGGCAGCTGAATGGGTTGTCGAAGCCTCTGACGCCCAGCATTGCAGGCAGGGGGTTGTGGGCCTGCACAAAACTCTGGGAAGGAGAGAGCCTGGCATTTAGAACGCGCGTGTCGGTGAATCCTGCTGCTTCTGGGAGTACTCGTCTTCAGGCTCATACATACCATCCGCGTGCGGCACTGGCGCGTCATGCGGTGCCAGGTGTACTCTCCTCACAACATGACGTCCGCGTTCCCTGATAGCCTTCTGTGTCTCTCCCAGTGCTCCTGTCCGTCTGTCTGTCTGTACTCCCAGTTGTGCAACATATAATTTGAGTCCAGAGTAGCTGGACTCAGATTTTCAGCCTTTCAGAGATCTAACTGAAATAATGTTTCACGTTCTCCTTCCCCATGAATACAGCAGCCCCCTTGCTTTACTTCTCCATCGCTGTGGAGGGATAACTGACACGTAACATTGTGTGGCATGAAGATTTACAAACTGATGGTTGGGTAGATTCTGTGAGACGGTCCCCACAGTAGAGCTAACAGCTCCACCCCATCATGCGGTTACCTCTTCAGTGTGTGGTGAGAACACTCGCGGTCCTCTCTCTTGGTGGCTTCGGCGGCTTTGACGCCTTTCGTGCAGCACGGTTAACTGTGCGCCCCATGCTGCGCTGCACGCCAGACTCCCCAGGCCAGCTCATCTCCTGACCGGAGGTCTGTGCCCTTGACCGACCCCTCATGTCCCCCAACGCCCAGCCTGGCAGCCACTATCCCAGGGTCTGCTTCTGTGAGTTCGACCTTTTCAGATTGCACTTGTCAGTGAGATCCTTCGGTATTTGTATTTCTGGGTATGGCTCATTCGAATTGGCGCCATGGTCTTGAGCTTCATCCACGTTGTCACAACAGCAAGATCCCCTGCCTTGCTATGGATGAGTAATATTAAATAACTAACATTTTCTGGATCCATCGATCCATCAGTGGACATTTAGGTTGTTTTTGTGTGTTGTAACCCCCCCCCCCCTTTAAAAGGCAGGAACCTTCTAGGAGGATAACTAAGCCCCTCATTTCTGCAGCTTGAGCAGATGTGACTAAGACTAAAGCTCCTGTATTTGAAAGTGAGACATTTTCTCTTTCTTCCTCCCCTTTTAATCGATGAAAAGCTATAATCACAGTATTACAACCATTTATGACAGTTACTAAGGAATGTTTCAGTGTATATCATAAGACACTGATTTTAATTCTATGGTCAGTTACTTTTATTGCCATTTGATCCACATATAAACTTATTAAATGACCTTGATATGTTCATTTGCTCTTAAGATTAAAAAAAAATTGGCACGTGAGTTTAAACCTGTCCTTCATCTTTGGAAATGTTCCTTTGAACTGTTGGAAGGTATGTGGTATATAGTCTATTCTCTCCTTCTGCATATTAGGGTCGCACGTGTTGTCTTCTCCTCCAGCCTCCAATAACTGCAAATACCCTTTGTCTCTCCTGCTGCTTTAGTTTGCTCTCAGCCCTTCAGCAGTGAGCTGGAAAGGCCTTCTGAGGTTACCTAGTCTAACCGAAGCAGAGGAGCGGAAACAGAAATGTAATCTGTTTGTGGAGGGTGAAAATACAGGCTCACTTATTTGTATCTGATAGGCTTTTGATTCATAACTAAAATACAAAATAGGGAAATAGCTGTTCCATTTTTTGTTGTTGTTTGAAAGGAATTTGTAAAACTCTAGTTTGTAGAGCTGTTAGCCTTAGTGGATCTTTAGGGTGTGTGTGTGTGTGTGTGTGTGTGAGAGAGAGAGAGAGAGAGAGAGAGAGAGCTGGGGGTTGTGGTATAGTGGGTAAGACTATGTGGTGTGAAAATTATCATTTTTAGTTTATTTCATTTTGCTTGATCCTACAAAACAGATTTGTGTTGGAATTTGGCATTCAGTATTTAATAAGCTCTAGTAATTTTGTCGTAGACATTTTGGTAAATTCCTTAGTGATAGTACATGTCAAGTTTAAATTCCAGGGCAGAAAACTTGAAAAGGATGATGTGATATATAATTACCGACATACAGTGTTCACAGATACAGTTATTTGTTTGGCACTTATTCATTAATGTAACTTTTTCAATTGATGATATTATTTGATTTAGGATCTTAGAATTTGAACTGCATGGAAATCATTGATAATTTTGGTGTTTATTTTTTTACAGAGAGGAAAAAGGAAAATGGATGACTGGAAAATGTATTATTTGTTGTATTTTAAAAGTTGTATTTCCTTTTCTAGGTCGCTGTAGTAAAACTGAAAAATGCAGACAAAGTATTTGCCATGAAAATATTGAATAAATGGGAAATGCTGAAAAGAGCAGAGGTAAGATTCAAATTACTGGAATGTTTAATATTTTAGGATTTTTTTTAGAGAAACTATAAAATTATAGAGAGCCAGCGGATTCTTAGGTATTATTTAATATTTTTATCGATGCTGATATATTCTAAGGCCCAAGACAAATTCAGTAGTTTACAATTGTGATATGGTTATGATAAAAGTTATAATTCATTGGTTGTAATTTAATATTGTCTGAAAACCAAATGGAAACCCTTGTAATGTGGGGCTTACCCATTTATGTTGAAAGGATGTGTGGAAAATAGTTTCTTTTATATGAAGAAATTTAGTAATGATTGATTTTTAATTTGTCACAAGTCGTTTATATCATTCTGTATTTATCTGTATTCTGCTCCATGCAAAAGTCAGCAGGAGCTTTGAATAGGCGCTCTGAGAATTGTTTATTGCTGATCATGCAGTTAAATTTGTTTTGTTTTACATTATTAAAAATGGTAGTGAAATCTGCTCTTGGAACAGTCATTAGCATGTTTGTGTTGGTGCCAGATTTGAGGGGCAGAGTGGTTGGCACGATACTAAAACCATCTCTGGTGGTGTGGCAGGGTCAGAGCTGACGTCACACATGGGCTGGGGTGGGGCTCTGTGCCAGTTGTGCCCTTGGGCCTCTGGGAAGCAGTGCTCACTGGTACGGAGGCAGTTCAGCCCTCGGACCTGTGGAAGGTCCTGCTGCTGCCTGTACTAAGCATTAGCCCTGGAGGTTAGCAAAACCTGTAAGGATGCTGAGCAGTTCACCCTTAGAAATCTTTCTGTATCTGCCAGTGCTTGTAGCAACCTAAAGAAGAACAGACACACAGGGAGAAGCAAAAAACTTTCCCATGGGATGGATAGAGTGGTAGTGAAAGCCAGTACTTCACTTGTTCCTTGTTTTGGGAAATCTGAAAAATACCGCAAATACAAAGGAGAAGCTAATCATTTGACTCCCATCACCTAAAATTAATCAGTAACATTTTTGGCAAGTTTTTGCTTCCAGTTTTTTGTTGGATGCATCTACTGGAAAAAACTGCACAAGTGAAATACAGATACATTCTTTATAAAACAAATTAATAGCGTGTAACAGATAAGGCTGAAGTACTCTTTGCACATACCCCACCCAAGTCCAGCTCCTCTCGGACTCCCACAGGAAGTGACTGTGTAATAGTCTCTGTTTAAAAAGTATCTGGAAGCATTTATGGCACTTTCCGGCCTATGTGCCAGTGCCCACTACATTCAGTAACTTCAGTCTTTACTTTGGGATTTCCCTAGGACTGAATTGCCTTATTGGCACTGCTCAATTTTCCAGGTAGTCAGCACTGAGACTGATTTTAACATGCGGTATATTTCTCGGGGAGTTCGTTTGGAGTTGACACCTACAGGAGGGGAAAGTGGTGGAACATGGTGTGCCAGGGAGAGGTCAGCCTGTCCCCATAGCCTCTGTCGGTAGAACAGGGAGCCACGGAGCAGAAATGGTCCTTCAGGGTTGTCCTGCATTGGGCCAAATGACTGGCTTTTATTATGCACCTGCCTCAGTCAGTTGCTGGTGACTGGCTGCAGTATCCAGTATCCACGTCCAGAAGGACGTGGTCTTGGACGAGTAGGCTCTCTGCAGCTGAGGGCAACCTGAAGGAGCTCGGCAGTGTTGTCAGCCACGAAGCCACAAGTCTTAGTAAGAACTAGTGCACAAGTATGTTGTGATCGTTTCATTGAAATCATAGTTGTAGTTAATTTAGGATTGCAGAGTTAGTACAACTCAAAACATTGAGTTTGTGCTTTCTATAAAGTTGGGTATGCTGGGGAAGAGTTGTGAAAAGGAAAGGTAACTGGGTTAGCTTTCATTACTGATCGGAAAAACTGGCAAAAGCGAAGATAAAAAAGAGACAATTGGCAATTAAATATTGTTTTGTGGAAATAAAAAACATTAATATATTCTGTTTCCGGGGCAAGATGGAATGGAAATTCTTCTCCCCATCCCTTCCATTAAGTACAGCTAAAGATGCTGCACATGAAATATAAAACAAGCGTGAGGAGACTCTGCAGGGCCGAGAGAAGAAGGTGGACCAGCCTGGGGCCCTGGGGCAGCACTTCCCTCTGAAGTCAGCGGTGCATCAAACTAGTCATGCCACCGCAGGAGGACGTGCAGTGTCGAACGAATAGAAATCAAAGGGACCGCGACAGGTGGCGGTCAGGGAGGCTGCTGTTGGCGGCCCTGCAGCCCTCCAGTTCCTGATTTTAAAGTAGTTTTTATACCGGGGGGGTTGCATGTTGTGCTGGCTCTAGAATTGATCTGCCCCTTCAGTCCTGCCCCTCAGTAGGGGAACTCCCGCCTTTGGAGGGCAGACAGGCAGCAGACTTGGGAAGCTGTTGCCAAATTGTCTTCTAAAAGTATTGGGTCGGTGTATTTTTCACTCAGTAGTGTGTAAATGGGTCTGTCGTCTCACTCATTTGCCAATTCTAGATGTTACCAAGTGATTTCTCTTTTTTGAATTATGTGAAAAAACGTTGTTGTTGAAAAATAAGTTCAAGAATGACACATCTCATGTTTGATTTAGCCACCAACTGTATAAATCGATGTCTTAGTGTACAAGAGGTGATACTGAAATTCTTGCATTTTGCACTTTAAAATTCTACTTCTCCGTTCTTTTTTTATGGAAAAATTCGGCATTTCCTCCTCAAATATTAGAATAATTCAGTTATTATTTGAAAGAATTTTTCTGTGATAACATTTTACAGGTGATAGAAGTCTATATAACTAATAAACGAGAAGCCGTAGTACATGTGATCAGGGGTGGATTTTCTTGTTTTAACACACGATTTCCAGGTGTTCAGGGAATTCTGATGTGCTGGGTGGGAGTGTGTAGGAAGAGCGTTTGTCTGATGAATGTGTACCAGTGGGCCTGGGGGGAGAAGCATGTGACGGTTTCACAGAATTATTTTTCTTTATATGCAGTCCATGTTAACTTCTGTTTTCATTGTGGGTATTCCTGTTGCTGTGTCTCTTTAACCAATAGCCCATTCAGGATAAAATTTAAACAATATATAACTGAGTATTAAAAATAAAACACTTGAAAACAGTTAAGACCATCACTGCTGCAAGCAGAATGTTTGGTTGACTAGAAACTGAGTGATGATAGAATCTGAAGAAGTTACGTGATCTCCAGTAACCCCTCCTGCATGTTTACTGCATCCTTACAGACTTGAATATCCTGTTTTCAAAGGGAGATACTTAAAAAATTTGAGTTTTTGAGACATTCCAAAAGATAGTTATCAGGTAAAATGGGCAAAGGGGAATGAACAATTCAACGAGAAAACTCAGATGGTCAATAAACATTTATAAAGTCATTTATCTGCACCTGTAATTAGGCATAAGTTAATTAAAAGAACAGTGAGATATTATTTTACACCATGGGGTATGGGAAATGTGGCGTACGGAGGTATTACTTTACACCTATCATCTTGTCACATAAAAGTCAGATAATGCCAAGCACAGTTGAGGATGTGGGGAGAAGGTAAAGATCATACACTAGGGTGTGGGTAGCGTCAGGAATTGGTGCAGCACTTGGGAGGGAAGTGGCTGTGTGGGGTACAGCTGAGAAGGCTTCTGTCCAGCATTTCTACTTTTAAGTGTGTGTAGTAGAGAAACTCCTGTACATTTGTTCGGGTATATTACTGCAACATTGTAATAGCACAAAATTGGAAATAAATGTTTCCATGATCAGGATGGTTGCATAAATTATGGTGTAGTTAAACAATGGACTACCGTAGCAATTACAAGGAAAACAAGTCATGATTGAGTAAAAATTAATCAAGTTGTAAAAGGATAGATAAAATCATATCATTTATGGAAATTTTCAGAATACAAAACAATTCTGTTATTTTGAGTCACAGTCATGTGACCAAAGCATATGATGGAAGGAATATGTCCCAACTTCAGATTAGTTACTATATCGGGGGAAGAACGGAGGAGAGTGGGATCGAAGCAGGAAGGCCGCAACTTGCATCTTACTTTCTTAAAAAGATCAGAAGTAAATGTGGTAAAATGTTGACACGTATGTTATCTCAGTGGTAGGTTTGATCGTGCTTCTTGAATGATGCTGTGTATTTCCTGGTGTTTTTGAACTCTTAATGTACTTTAAGTGAACTATTCCAGTTGTCTAATTCTGACTGCGCTTTAAAACTTGTTGCAACTCATGTAATATTGGACAAACTGTTTTTCCAGAACAGAAAGTGTAGTAAACATATTAAGCAATTGTTTGCATAATATATGTATTTCCTCGTTTTACATAGTGTCATCTATCTAAAATTTCTTTTCCCCTTTTCAGACAGCCTGTTTTCGTGAAGAAAGGGACGTGTTGGTGAATGGAGACAATAAATGGATTACAACTTTGCATTATGCTTTCCAGGATGACAATAACTTAGTAAGAATCGTTTCTTCCCACTTTTATTGAGAAATAATCGACATGCATAACTGAATAATTTTACGGCCTAGAGCATGATGGCGTGATTCATGTGTGTTGTGAAATGATGACCACAGTGGGTTCAGCTAAGACTGTCTGCTCATATAGATGCACTAAAAAGAAAAGAAGAAAAGGGAAGTGGGAAGAATTCCCCAGGTGTTGAGAGCCCTTCGGACTTACTCTCTTCACAGCCTTCCCCTGTGTCCTAGAGCTGTGTTGGCTGCAGGCGTCGTACTGAGTCCTTCGTGCTTATTCATCTCAGGACTCGAAGTCTGTACCTGCCGACCACCTTCCTCCTCCTCCTCCCCCCGCCAGTCCCTCACTCACCTCTGGTGACAGGTCGCATCTCTCTCTGAGTTTGGGGTCTGAAAGGACGAGGGCCGTTTGAATGAGAGTGAGGCCAGTGGGATTAGTGTAGCATGAAGGGGAGAGAGACAAGAACTGAGGCCTCCAGATGTGGGTCGTGCTGAGGGATTCAAAGTGGGTTTTAAGGAGAGTGTGATAAAGTTTTATATTTTACATAGAACATCCCGGCTGCAGTGCGGAGGATGGATTTCAGGAGCAAAACTAGAGAAGGAAACAGTTAGGAGACTTGGACGGCATTCAGGTGACAGGTTATGAGGGCTCGCATAGAGGTGATGGTATCCTAGTAGGGATGAAGACGGAGGGCATGGTTTCGGACACTGTTCAGGAAATAAAATAATTAGAACTCTGTGTTTGAGCGGAAGTCGGTGGAGGAGAGGAGTCAGGGTGATTCCCAGTTTTCCAGTGTCTAAGTTGTGGCCTTTGGTGGTTAGTACTTGATGAATTGAGTTGGAGAATGTAAGAGGAAGAGTATTCATTTAATTTGGTGTACGTCAGGCCTGAAGTACCACGTGGCCCATTTAGTGGGTTAGATCCACACCTGGTGCTGCTAAGGGCGAATGAACAGCACTGCGTACCTGGGGAGCTTACACGCCGGAGCTCGGCAAACTATGGCCCACAGCTCGCACCTGGCTCTACCTGTTTTTGTGCAGCCTGCAGGCAAAGAATTGTTTCATATTTTTTAAATAGTTGAAAAAATTAGAAGAACATTTTGTGAATGTGAATATTGTATAAAATTCAAACTTCAGTGGCCATAAAGTTTTACTGGACACAGCCATACCCACTGATTTATGCACTTTGTCTACGGCTGCCTTTGAGCTCCAGTGACCGAATTGACCAGGAGTGACCGAGACTGGCACGGTGACGGAGGGGAACACACTCTGTGCCATGCTGTCACTGCTTCGCACTGCGGCTCAGCAGATGGCAAATTGCAGTGACAGTCCCCTTGAGGGCACCGTGGGTGCTGTGTGTATTGCCCTACTGTGACGTCCCACTGTGTCTGTCAGTGGGGCACATGCATCATGGCAGGCTGGGGAGGGGAGGGTGCAGCTCCACCCCACCTGTCCGGGAGGGCGCAGCAGCTGCTGCGTGGCCACACGAGCACTGGTCGCTGCAGTCAGTAAGGTTGGAGAGTTTGAAACAGCATCTCATCACGGCAGAATTCCCACATAAACACGTGAAATGAAACGAGGCTGTGACTCTGGGAAGTTCCTTCAGAGGCTCGTGTGTTAGGCAAGGAAAGCCATTCACCGGTGTTGAGACGATTAAATCATGCTTGATTGCAGCAGCCAAAGAAATGTGTCCACAGAAAATTAACTTGTCTGGAACTATTAGCCTTTTGGCAAGAACAGTTGCTCCAAGAGTTGAGGAAATTGGGAGGAACATCAATGCTTGATTATAAAATCAAGGAAATGATGTTGAGTGGTTTTCTTTGACCTGAGTTGAAAGATGTTACTGATTTCGCTCAATTCTTGTTATTTGAAGAATTAGCCTGTGTGAATAGTTCGTGTGGTATAATTACAGTCAATAGTATTTTCAGAGAAATTCAGAAAACACTAATTGGGCACAAACTGAATTGAAACGTGCTAAGATGTAGTACAACTGGGCGTGAGGAAAATAGGTGTGAAACAGAAGGAGACTTAGTTGGATGAATATGTAAATCATTAAATATTAGGTGCTTAATGCCTATGCATATTCATTGTCTTACTAATTGAAAGGTAGGTAGTTCACAGCGAATATTTGAACCTCTCATGTGTAACTCGATCAGCGGTACTGACGCTGAGCTTCAGCCAGTCTCGTGGAGGCATGTGTTACCGCTTTTGTGGACGTCTGCCGAGTCAGAGCTGACGTCCTGTGCAACGCAGCTCTTCAGTGGTTTTCCTGATGGTAACATATCACTGCAGTATATTGAACCAGGGGCCAAGACTGAAATGTTTGGGGAAAAAACCATCCTAAACATTATTGTGAAATACTGAGTTACTGTGGAAATGAGCTACTCCTGTAGGCTTGATGTGTTTTTAAAAATAAATTTAACCTAAATTACAAGGCAAAACAGCGCTTACACGCAACACTTACGCTATGGTGAGTTCATCCTGACAGCTAACGCTGTTTGAGTCACACATAATGTCAGGCTGCTTTACCTACTTCCCTTGTTGTCAAAAGTAGAAAGAACTGAGATCTCCATTCTCACACTGATTTGCAGCAGATAGATCTTTTGAGCTCAAACCATAGTTCTAGCATTAATTTTGGGACTTGGTGTAAGAGAAAAGGAAAGGTCCATAGTTCAAAATCCATTTAGCTGGGCATTTGAGGGCTTCTGCCTAACCTTCAGTTAGAAGTGATTGATCTGCAACGTAATGACACGCTTAAACACAAATACCAGGAGAAAAATCTGACAGCATTGTATAAATGCCTTCCAAGGGAGCGAAATGTCCAATTAAAATTACGTGCTCCATAATTGTTCTTAGTGTATGTTAGTGCCTATCTTTGTGAATAGACATTTTTACAGATGAAACACATGAAATCTTATGACAGTTACAGCTCAGCATTTACAGAGAAGTATTTACAAAAGACTTTGATGGCAGGAAACACCCGCCCGAGCCCCAGTTAAGCAGGTTGCTATACTGCCTTCTTCCCACAGAAGAAGCACATTTTTCTCATTAGCAGACAGGTATTATACCCCCAAATTATACTCAATTATTATTATTATATTTTGAACTTTGCCAATAAAAGGGCGTGGGAATTTGTTTTCTTTTATTATGTAAGTACCTACATAATACTCTTGATTTTGCCTCTTGGCCTGCCAAGCCCTGAGTCAGGGCTCTGCTTCGGCAGGAGTGGAGTCCACTGCCCGGGCAGGAGAGCCCCTCCGGTGCGGGGGCCTTTCGCCCCTCCGTCTCCTGGCGTCTGTCCGTGCCCCAGAGGTCCGGATGGGCACCTAGTAAATGTTTGTGGAAGGAACGAGTTATATTTCTGACTTGCTGTGTAGAGGTATTAGGTTGCAAATTTAATAGCAGACTTTTTTGTATTTAATGTGAAAAGTTTGTGTTTGCTGCTCTACTCCAGGTACTTCCTTCTAAAGTAAGAGATGTGCGTTTCTTCTCCACCATCCATTGTCATTTCTAGCGACATGTTTATGTTAATACAATTTTATTACATTGAATTACTTTGTTCCAATCTTCATGATTAGAGTTTGTTAAGCATTAGTCCTATTAAAAATAGTAAGTAAACCATAAGCTGGTGTTTGAAATACATTGTTTCTCTAACTTTCAAAGATTTAAAATGTGAAACTAGTTTTTCTTAATTTTAAAGAAATTGCCCATGTTTATAACTTGAATGTATAGTATTGAGAATGGATTTTGTCAAGACTCTTTAGGACAAAAAACTATGACATCGACTATACTCTTACCAACCTAGAGGTAATGTCTGTGAACTTTCGGTGTATATGTCTCTCTCCTTTTTTTGCCACAGACACACTGTGAAGGAACACTACTGTTTTTGTTTACATTACACACAGTAATACTACTTCCCTTCTACAATAACCATGTGGGTTTTCCATGCAGGAAGCAATTCTGTGGCCAGCAGGGGGTCCCACAGTATAACTCAATTCCGAAACTACCTGGACAGAGCATCAGGTCCCACAGGTTAAGGGTCTGGTCTCACGGCCTGCCCTCTAGCCCCCAGGCACAGGTCCAGGTTGTTATTTGGGCTTCTGACCTACGGGCTGTGGATCGGAGATTCCCTCCGGGGGTTCTGATCCACAGTGAGCTAGCGAGCGCTGCTCACAGAACTCAGGAGAAGGACCAGTGCAGGGCGGGGCTGTGGGAAGGGACGCAGAGCCTCCACGGCCTCCCGAGGCGCACCACTCCCTCCTCCTCTCCACCTGCGGGCTCACCCAGAGCCCTCCAAACCCCGACCTTCATCACATGGGCAGGTTTGGTTAAATCCCGGGCCAGTCGGGATTGAAGCGATCTCCAGCCCCTCTCTTCAGTGGGTGGGACTGAAGGTTTCAACTCTAATCTTGGTTGGTTTCCCTGGCAGCCAGCTCCCACCCTTAGGTTATGTAGGAGTTTTCCGAAAGTTGGCTCAGAACACCAGCTCTGGTGTGATTGAAAGGGGCTTGTTATCAGTAACGAAAAATATACCTTTATCTTGTCACTTAGGAAATTTTAAGGGTTTTCAGGAGATCTGGACTCGATGCCAATATGTTTTTTTCTTATTATAAATTATAACATCAGACACACACATAATAGCCCACATCTAAAATCATTTGGCTTCAGTTTATGTGTACCCTAGAAAAGTCCTTTCCAGTATTGGTGCACTATCAGAAATGGGAAGAGAAACTTACGTCTGGTGAGAGTTTTTGTATTCTGTATTACAGTGCTTTTTGGACGCTTAGCCAAGTGCTGGTTACACTAAAGTTGTTACTGGTGCCAGATAAAATAGGGAAAATGTAGTGATGTTAAGATCCATTTATTCAACAGAAAGGACTATCTTATATTCTGAGTTTTGTCAAAAGTCCACTTTGGAGAGTTAAAATGTTCATTCTGTGAAATGGTGGTAAAACTGTGGTCTACTGTTGTAGGTGATGACGATATTGCTACTTTGTAAAATACAACAAAAACTAACAACACTGTGTTGTTTCCTTCCCCAGATTTTAGAAATTTATTCTACTCCTTTATGAAATTTATAAGTTTGTAATGTCTCCTGTTGATAATCTTTTTTTAAAAATATTTTGTTGACTTTTAGAGAATGGAAGGGAGGGAGAGAGGGAGAGAAACATCAGTGCGTGGTTGCCTCCCGTGTGCCCCCCACTGAAAATCGGACCGGCAGCCCTTTGGTTCGCAGGCCAGTGCTTAGTCACTGAGCCACGCCAGCCAGGGCTGTTGATAATCTTACGTATCCTCTGTTAATTAACAATGATATTTTACCCAGTGCTATTTGACCTCGGGTTACATTAAATATACCAATTCTTACCCTTTTTTATTTACTGAGTACCTTTCATTGTTTCATTCCCAGTATCTGGTTATGGATTATTACGTTGGCGGGGACCTGCTGACCCTGCTCAGCAAGTTTGAAGACAGATTGCCTGAAGAGATGGCTCGGTTTTACTTGGCGGAGATGGTGATAGCAATTGACTCGGTTCATCAGCTGCATTACGTGCACAGGTGAGCGAGGTGTTCTTTTGTTGCCTCGTGTGATATCTAGAAGCAGAAGCCTACTTATATCAAATTTATTAGTTATGGTCTTGGATACACTAATCATCAACCAAAATACTTATTCTCAGATGGTTCTGCTCATTGTTTTGCTTGTTGTTGTTACTGTCATTTGTCAGCATTACAGAAGTGATGTTCCTGTGAATATATACACGTACAATACCTGTTTTTAGTTCCAATCAGCATTTCTATGGTATACTTCTAAGAAAACACTCTATTGAAATGTACGTAAAATTTTCTTTTCAAAAAGTGTGTTCCTTATAGGTGACATAGAAAATTACTGATTTTAGAAACTCGAACAATAATTGGTATGATTTATATTCAAGTTAGGAAGAAACTTGAATAATATTTTTATATTGATAATGTAGAGATTTTACCTCTTCTAAACACTTCTCTTTCCATGTTTTCATTGATTGTGAAGGTTAAAGGAAGGTTTTGCCTTCATTTCCCACCTCCTACTTCCTCTGTTGATGATACTTGGTATCTGGCTGGCTGGTTCACCCCTCATTTGCAAGATGGTACTGGCTCAGAGTGGGTCTGAATGCCAGGTGCTGTTTTGCCTCTTATATCAGAAAATAGAGTTTTGCTGGCCTTTTGTTCTGTGTACCCCTTGCCGTGTGACATGTGTTTTCCCGAAGCAGGCACAGGGACAGGCTGTGCAATGCAGGGTGCGTCGGGCACTGACCCCTGGGGGGGGAGCTGGCGGAAGCAGGATTAGGCAGGGGAGCAGTCAGGCTACGCTGCAGGCCCAGCCTCAGCCAGCCCCACTCGGGGTCCTGGAGAGTTTGTGGCCTAGCGGGGCTATTGCTCATTTAGTCATAATGGCCAAGTGTTTCTTTTTCTGTACCAGTCAGTGGGTAGGGGCTGCCCAAGGAAGACAGGACTTTTGGTGAAGAGGCTGTCTGCAGTTTTGAACGAGCTGACTGTTAGGGGCCAACATTGGGGCCAAAGCCCTGGATTGAAGGAGAAGGCAGCACACTTATGTGTCCACCGTAGACCCTGAGATACAGTGACTAGTGCAAAACAACAAAATCGCCCACGAGTCTGCAGTCGCGCAGAACCAGGCAGGGACTGCTGTTTCGCCTGAGGTGAAGTGAATCATCTGAAGCTGGAAGTTGGCTCTCAAGACGGCTCACTCACGGAGGGTGGAGTAAGGGATCAGTGATGCAAGGAGACTTGACCTGGGGCGTTGAGCACACAGCACAGTGAACAGGGGATGTGGAACTGTGCATGTGAAGCCTGCATAATGTTCTTAACCAGTGTCACCCCAATACATGTAGTAAAAATGAAAAAAAAGGTGGCGCACTCACATAGTGTGGCTCCTCAGCTTGGAGTTGAGCCAGGGCTGTAGGCCGGGGGCCTTTGTTCTTTTCCTGGGCGGCTCTCCAGGGCTGCCTGAGTTTCTTAAGCAGTTGACCAGCTTCCAAGTGCAAGTGTATGTCAATATGGAAGTGTAACCATCTTCCTGCCTAGTTTACACTTGGGGTCTCTTTGCATCTTGTGCTCCAGGGAGAACATTCTCATGAAGCAGTGAGGAGCATTCTTCACTCAGAGGATGGCCGTTGGTCAGCAGGTGCACCCACACCTCCCCGACATCTGTGGGGGTGCCATCTGCAACCTCTGTCTCACTCTGCCCTTGTAAACTTGGAGTGCAAGGGGAGCCGGGGCTGGCTCTGCGAACGCTGGGCCCCGTTCGAGGCACATTCCGTGTCCTTTCTCCTGGACGTTTTTCATTTGTCCTCTGACATTAGGTTTAGATGAAAATGATAGATGATCTGGAAGGAAAAGGGCAATTGCAGAAGGTCAGGCTGCAGTCTGGATGAAAAGGAAGGAAGGGACATGTTTTCCTCGTTTGAGGTGATAAAATGTATGGACTCAGGTAAATTTTAGGCCTCCTTTGTGCACAGAAATTTAGGTCACATTTAGCATCAGCTCAATGGACAAGTCATTTCCTCCTTCCTGTGAGTCCTTCAAGTTGTACCTCATATCAGTATCATACTTCATTCCCCGAACAGAATAAAGCATAAATATGTCAAACCCAGCAGATGACTGGAGGGCTGATTCATGTCCTCCTGAGGTCTTACTCAGAACAGCAGGAGTGTTTTCATCTGCTCCAGAGGGACATTTTAGGGACAGACTTCTTTTTCAGCCACAGGATAGACTGGGTGAGTTGTGGAGTGAGTCAGCAGGCAACATACCATGTATATAAAGTGTATCATTGTGCTTCCTGTTGCACAGAGGCCAATTAGTGTTATCATTAAAACGTTACTGTGTTTGTGATCTTGATAGCTATTAATTAATTGTTTTGACTGAAAATATTGTTGACTGCAGATGATCCTAGGGCTTAGTCAAAATATTGTCATATTCTTGGGTTAAATGACTCAGATGTTATACAGATGTATTTTGGGGTTTTAATTCATTTTAATCAGACAATACCTGCATGTAAGTAAAACAGAACTCAGCTGGTATAACAAGATGACGTTGAAAAAGAGTCCCCTCTCCAGACCTCTTACGCCTGCCTTCCAGGGGCAGGCGCATTAACTCCACTCAGCTCTTGGTTTGTCGTTATTTTACCCCATATCTCTAATATCTCGGTGTCTAACGCCAGTGTTGTCTCAGTATTGATTTTAGACATATAGTATTTGCATTTTGGAATTGATCATTTTCAATCAAGAGGAGTCGTTGAATTTAGTGAATATGTTTTCAGTAAAACAGGACTAGGCGGATGCTTCCTTAACAGGGCATGTGTGTTAGAAGTCGGCCTCAGTCTGGTGCCTCAGAGATCAGACCCGTGCTTACTAGGTGACATTGCTGAGGTCGGGACACAACAGAGACGTCCAGTGTCACCAATGCTATTTACATTGTGCTGGAGCTGCCAGCCAGGCTGTTCGGCAAAAGAAAAAACTTAGAAGTGTGAAAAGAGTAGAATCATCATATTTGTAAATGTTATACAAAGAAGATCAAGGAGAACTAACCTATAAAGTACAAGCAGGTCAGAGGTCAAAAAGGACGTCCCTGGTAGCATTTGTGGTCTGGTTCACGGGTGAATATTTACTGTGCGTTCTGCAGGTCAGGCTCTCTTCCAGGTGCCGAGAGTCTGGCGGTGAACAAAACTGGCAAAAGTGTCTGTTTTCGTGAAGTGGTTTCTAATTCTAGCAACAATCAGTAATTATAAAAAGATACAGAAAATATTCTGTAATATCTTAAAAATACGGAATACTTACGGATGTATTCATTAAGAAATACCTAGCATGTATGTAACTATACAGTGAGGAAGACTGTCCCTATCGGATACTAAAATGTCTTTAATAATAAATGCACTTCGACTGTGTGAAAAGTAGACTAATTGAACAGAGTTGAAAGTCTCGTAATAGACTCAGATACTTACCTGCACCAACCAGGTGAAGGTTGCATCTCAAATCGGAGTTTGAATGGTGCGTGGGAGAAATAAAGTGAGGTCGTGCCTGTCGTGGTGCACCAGGAAGAATTCCAGACGGAGTAAGCACTGAAATGGAAACAGATTAAACTCACAGTGCTCCCATGGAATGAGACATTGGAGAATTCCTTTGCAATTTCACTGAGGATAGATGAAGCATTTCTGACGGAGTTAAAATCCAGAAAAGCGTAAAAGAAAATTTTGATAAATTCAGTACACAAAAGAGTGCATGAGATGAAAAGTCTGAAGAAACCCAGAAAAGAAATGTTCACTGGGAAGGAAAGGTTTATAACTCCTGTACTTGGCAAAGGGGCGGTCTTCCTAATGCATAGAATGTTGCAGACCACAGTGTGGTGGACCAGGGGCATTTCACAGAAACAGTAATACGAAAGATACTAAGTACATGAAAAGGTGGTCTCTCTGATGATACAGGACATGCAAGTAATAACGTTAGTATAGCTTTTCATGTGTGAGGTTGACCAAGTACAAATACTGACAGATGGCTGTCATATGAAGCTGCAAGGGGACTGAGCGCGCACACCTCGTGCTCAGGGAAGTGTGAGTTCAGCTCAGACGAAAGGCCATCTCGTGCATCTGTCAAAACTTCAAATGCATGTGTTCCACATCTAGATTTTTAACCCAAGACATCATCACGTATGTGAAAATGACACGCACGGAGTTGTTCATGCCAATATTGTTTATAAAAGGAGAAGCTTGGGGAAAACTCAACTGTTCAGCAGCAGCTGACTGGTTAAATCAAGTCACAATCATAAAGTAGGATACTGAGAAGAATGGTGAGGCCTTTTCTGTTTTGATGTAACTCCAAGATTTATTATAAGTGAAGAGAGAAATGAGGAGATTGATGTGCACATCCCAAACTTTGTATGAAAATTAATATATTTGTGTTTGCTTATGTACACAAAGAACACTCTGAAAGGATAAGTAGGAAACTAATCACAGTAACTACTCAGGCGGTGCAGGGGCTGGGTGAATGGGAAACAGGTGTGAAAGGGAACTATTTCAGACACATGCTTTTTTTATATTTTGTATTTTCAACAAAATGTTTTACCAATCCAAAAGAACTAAATCAGTAGAATTAAATCAAAACAAAACTAGAAAGTAGTACGTATGTTTTGAAACTTTGAAGTGCATTCCTTGTAAGCATGGCAAAGAGAAAAATCACAATGGAAATTACAAAATATTTTAAACAGAAAGTAAAAGTCCTACATATCAGAACTTGAAGATTTATAGTCACTTTCTTCTCTGTAATCCAGGTTTATGTTGCTGTTCTTTCCTTGAATCCTGAGTTAGAAAAGGCTTATGTCACTTAAAGATATTTTCTTTTCATATATATTTGTTTAAGATTGGAAAGTTTCAACATTAGAATATCTATTAGTTTAATATACCTAATACCTTTAGCAATTTGAGGGTTTCTACCGAAAGTCTAAGGCAGAGATCACACTTAATGGTGAAACATAGGAAACGTTCCCATTACAAGTGGAAGCAAAATGAGAATGATTGTTTGAAGAAAATCTTTAGCACAGTAGCAACAAAACTGCGGCTGACCTAGGACTGCAGATAATACCACATGTGGAAGCTCTCATGGAGAAAGCCAGTGTTCTTGAAGGACATGTGAGAAGACCCGTGAGTGTAATGTATACAGGATGGGAAGAGTCATCTTGTTAGATCTCCGTTCTCATCACATTAACCTACAGAATCACTGTGATTCCCATCGGAACCCCAGGATGTGTCATGGAACGTACTGACCCTCGCACCCATCTGGAAGAGCCATGGCCATTTACAAACTTGGTCTTCTGGCACAGGGGTGAACCAGCTCTCACCGTGAAGACATGCTCTCGGTCCAGGTGCAGGCACACAGGGAGGGTGACCATCCTTCTCTGGTTGTGTGGGGCATTTCCAGTGTGTGCCTGCTGTCCTGGGAATTATTAATAGGCTCTCTTTCATTCTGAAAACTGCTCAGTAGAATTGCACAGGAAGTCCTGAGACAAATCCACTTCATTGATGAGCGTGTGGTATTGTAAGTCAGGGAGAAAGGATGCCATTCATTAAATGGCATTGGCACAGAAGGGAATATCATTGGCCTTTATCTCACACTACACCCAAAATTAATCCCACGTAGATTGAAGACTGGAAGTGAAAAGGAAAATTTTAAAACTTTAAAATACAGGACACTGTGCTTATGGCCTGTGGAAGCAGAACGTAAGGGAGATTTCTGAGGACAAAGAGCGCAGGTTATGAGAGTCGAGTGGGGGCCACCAGGTGTGTGAGCAGTGGGGGACAGGTGGGCAGGAGAGGACGAACCTCAAGTTGTAAGATCAGTGAGATCCAAGGAGCTGATGTGCGACAGGGTGTCTGTAGTTAAGTGGTGTCTTGTGTCATGGAAATTCACCAAGAGTGTAGAACTTGTGTTCTCAAAAATAGATTGATATGTGAGTTGATGGATGTATTAACTTGATGGTGGGAATTCTTCCATTGCATGTACATAAGTCATGTTGTATACTTTAAATATATCACAGTTCGTCAATAAAAAACTGAAAAAAGTGGGAAAAGGATAACATTATAAATTATAAGACTACACAACCAATTAAGACTACATTAGTATTAAATGGTTTTTTATGAATGAGAAAGACAGTATAGACAATGAGGAAAAACAAGTCCATGTGCTGGAAGAAGAGATTTGTAACAAACAGAATTCTGGGTTAACCAGAATCAAATGACATATGGTACATACGGAGTATGAAAAAATGGGAAGATATTAACTGTCATTTTACAGAACAGGAGTCTGAGATGACCACTAATAACATAAAAAAGACTCTCGAGCTCACTCGCGACCCTGCCAGTGAAGTGGGAGCGCACGTCTCCCGTCTCAGCAGGTGCACGTCTCCGTGTCTGGCGGGGAGAAGCGTTCTCATCTGAGCACTAGGAGACATTTAAAATGTTCATCTGGGCTTTTTGTGTAGTAGCAACATGACAATCTAAAGTTGTTTGGAAACAATCTAAGTTCCATAAGCCAGAAAATTGAGAAATAAATTTTGGTATATGAAAGTATTCCACATAGAAATTAAAATTAATGAACTAGAGTAAAATGTATCAACATGGATAAATTTTAAACATAATACTAGAATAAAAGCAAGTTGCAAAACACTACACGTAGTTTGGTATCAGCTATGAAGTTTAAAGACATTCAGAAAAATACATAGTCTGTGGCTGCATCTGTGTGTACTAATAATAAAACACATGCGTGGACGGTGGTCTGGATTTGGCCTACGGGTCATAATTGGCCAGCGTGTGAGGTATGACACACAGAAATTACTGCAGTAATTAAGGGAGTACTGTTATTATCCCTGTATTACAGGTGGGAAAATGGAGGTTTAGAAACCTGAAGTGGCATCACTCAGGTTAAATTAAAATAACCTTACTGTTCTCTTAGTAACCCCATGCTATAGACTTTTTTTTACATACGGAATGCTTACTGAGGATTCTTTTTCTTCCTCTGAAAGTGGAATGAATTGTGAGGGCCTAATCTCACGTTTTTTCACAACTGTAATCTTTAGAGTATGTTTAGAAACTTTCCATTGCCGGGTATTCTTTACAATTGATTGTATGATTTTCTCAAGGTTTGCAACATATTTCATTGTTCCCGTGGAGAAACGCATACAAAAACTGTTATGTTTTAGTTTATTAGTTAGATTTGGATATCTTACAAGACATTGACTTAATAACATCAATAGATAGCTTAATACAGTGGTAGAACACTATTAAGCAGTTGTTTTCCAAAATCAACTTTACAAAGCAGTGTCTTTGTTTTGTCATGACTTGCAGTAATTGAGAATTTATTGATCTACATTTACAGTCAGAGTCCATGAAGTATATTTTTCCCTGTTCAATTTCATGGGCTAGATAGAGATTAGTATGCTTTGTAGGTTTTGAGTAACTGGCTCTTCTCTGTGTGCAGAAAGTAGGGACTACCAGGACTGTGGTAGATGTTGGGGTGTGTGCAGAGTCAACAGTGGGATGGTAAGGTTATTTAACTTTTTATCTGGGAGGAGCTTGAAATGACCTGCATTTTAGAATGTTTTAATATGAACCGAAGTCAGGATTTAAATCAATAAAGTTGTCAGAGGTTTCTAGAGTATTAATTTTAAAATAATTTAAGATTTTTAGATGGAGGCTATCTTACCAACTATCTGACTATGTCTATTCTTTTAAACTAAAAATAGAATATTTTTTTTCAGAGACATCAAGCCTGACAATATACTGATGGATATGAATGGCCATATTCGGTTAGCAGATTTTGGATCTTGCCTGAAACTGATGGAAGATGGAACCGTAAGTAAAGATACATTTTAAATTATTTTACCCACAGCCATTTGTGTTTTTTTTTTTTTTGCTACTTGTCTTCTTTTTCGGTCTAGAAACCATTTATTTATATTATTCATCTGTCCATCAGTCATTCTGTGCTTCACTTTCTTCCACAAAGGCATTTAGGCACACTTAGTACGTCTCGTCTGTAATCACGCCATTTCAGCTGCGTATTTTAACGATCCGAGGATGGGTCCAGTGCGCCTGTTATGAGGCCCTTGTTTGTTCGTTGTTTGGCTGAACTGTTTATTATTGTACTTGAGATATTTTTTCATTTCCCGATGGATAAAGAAAATAAATCTACATAGAAAAAGAAAATATGACTCCTTTGCTTTTATTTTTTTAATCTTTTTTCCCTAGTTGTCCGATTTTCCTGATGGACTGTGTTCATAAAATGAATGCTTGTTATCAGGAAGTCATCTAAGTTGGTTTAGTTTCATGTTACCATTTGCTTTAGTTGTTCCAACTCTAGGCCTCTCAGTTGTTTTCTTTCGCTTACTTAAAGTTTATATGCCCCATTTTTATTCTCTGGTTTGTTTTGGGTTTTGTTTTTACTTCGGTTTTTTGGCTGTACAGCAGAAGTCCAAACACATATCCTTTGAATTGGGAGAAATGTTTTTAGAGATCAGTTTAGTAAAATACATGCTAAAGACAATGAAAATGTGTTGTACTGGACTAGCAATTTGACTTTTGAAATTTTATCCTAAGGAGGTAACTTTAAGAAGATTATATGACCTCTGCCTCTGGCCATGATGCAGGGAGTAATTGGTACCAAATTGTCCTCTCACTGTAAACAGTAAAAGGGGACACAGGATTTGAGACGACTGTTTCAGGCAGTGGACAGCGGGCAGCACAAGACTTATTTCTGAGAGACTTTGTTACGTCTGCCAAACAGTTTCCCAGCACTGGGACAGTGGGCTGTTTCTGATGCAGGGAGCCAGAGTTAGAGCAGAGCAGAGTAGTTCTGCAGAGCTGGGGAGGAGGAGGTCAGACTTGAGTTGTGGGCACCTGGGACCTGCAGGGCTTGACGTGGGAGGGGAGGGAGTTGTGTAAACCTGTCTAATAGCCTAATTCCAAGTCGTAAGATCCACAGAGTTTGAAAGTGGTCCTCCAATAAAGGGACTTGAATCATACATAGATTTGCTGTGAATCTGTGCTTGAAGAGTATAAATCCAAATCCATGTGCAAGGAGATAAGTGATTTTATTTATTTGCTTAAGCAAGAATTAATAGTCCAAAGGAAGATAACCGAATTCATACTTTCTACAGAGTCTTACGGATAATGACCAGTATTTAATCAGAGATCACTAGGCCAAACAAAAGTGGAGGGTAGAGTGTGGGCTGTGGTACAGAGTTAAAAAACAAAAGTTGTCGGTAGAAACCGAAGTAGCACAGATGTTGGGTTTTAGCAGACAGACTTAATGAAACTTCATAAATATGCTTTAAAAATCAAAGGAAAATACAGTCTTAAAGATTATACAGGTAAGGAATTTCAGCAGAAAAATCAAATGGACCTTTTAGAAGTTGAGAAGTATGCTGGTAGAAATAAAGAATTCACAAGAGGAGGGTCACTGAATTAGAGGTGAGAGAAGAAAGAGCCAGTGGATTCAGAGACAGAGCAACGAAGATTCTCCATTCTGCAGAATGGAGAAGATTGAAGCAAACTAAAAACAGGCTCAGGGAACCCTGTAACTGGAATCGTTGGAGAAATGATTCAGTGTGGTTGAGAGGAAGGAATTGCTCAGTCACGTTAGCAATTCGGAGTGAGATGGGGGCAGAGGAGATATGTAGATTGATGGCTCAGACTTGCCAAATGTGATAGAAAACACAGATCTAAGAATCTGGCGTATTGCAAGCTTGTAAAAGAAACCACACCTAGCCACATCACAATTAAATTGCTGAAAATTAAATATGTATATATATTATATTGAAAGCAGCCGGAAGAAAAAACACATCACATACTCCAGAAAAATGGTTAAGAATGGCCAGTGACCTCTCATTGGAAGTCATGGAATGGTATTTTTAAAGGGCTGGAAAAACAAATCTGCAAAATTTCTGTATCAAACAAAAATATTCTTCAAAAGTAAAGGTGCATTAAAGGCACTTGGTGATAAATGAAAGATGAGGTATTAATCTCCAGAAGGCATAGTAAAAAATGTTTTTCAGGCCAAAGGAAATGATACCATTTGGGGTCTTAGATCTGTAGCATAAAGAATATTAGTAGGTTAAGTGGATAAAGAAAAAAAGACTATATTACCTTTCTATTTAAATTTACATACCAAACATCTGCTAAAAGCAAAAAGAATAACATTGTAACGGGGTTTATGACACGTAGAAGTAAAGGTAAGACAGTGGTCACACAGACAGTGCACGACGGGCACGTGGAATTACCCTGCTGCAAGGCGTGGAATTACCCGTGTTGCATGGGGGGTGGATCGGGCCAGGGAACGGAGGAGTGTGCTCTTCATTGGATTAGGGAATTTTCTGTTTCTGATCACTGAGTCTGTTGTTCGGGTTGTTATGGTTGTAATCAAATGATTTTTTCTGCATCTACTGAAAAGTGACAGATTGTCCAAGTTAAATCACTCCTGCTTTGGATCAGCATAACTTTATCTTGACATTGTGTTGATGTATCAGAACAAATTGCTAGATTGGCTCTGCTAAAATTTTGTGTTAGACTGTGACCTGAGATTAATCATGTTTGATATAGCAGTATAATTTTCTTCTCAAATTGTTCTTGTCTGATTTTTGTTTTTAGGTTATTTTCACTTTCTGAAATGTGAGGGGGGGGCATATCTCCTCCCCTTCCCTATTTTTGACTCTGGAACAGTTTATATAATAACAGGTTTCTGTTTCTTACATGATTGGTACAGCTCACTTGTAAATCACCTTTCCTGGTGTGGTTTTGTTTTCTCTTATTTTGTTTGTTTTCCAGATGGATTTATACTGTTCATTCAAGTTTTTTAATGTTAGATTTAAATAATGTTAGATTTGTTCTTGGGCACATTGTGGATTTCTTCTTTTTGCATATGTTGGGGGGAAGCTATTATAAATTAACTTTTTAAAATTTGCAGTTTGAAAAATAAATAAAATTTGCAGTTTGATAGCCTGTTGCTGTGTTCAATGATTGTAGGTCTCTTAGGTTTTCTATTTCTTCCTGAGTCAGTTTTGATTAAGTTGTATTTTCTTCTATGAACATTGCCTATTGTCAGTGAGTTGTCAGTTTTATCCGTTGAAAGTTGTTCAGGTTATGCTCCTAGTTTAAAAACTGTCACATGTGTAGTTTTGTCCTCTTTTCATTTCAAATGTTTGTGCTTTTCTTTTCCTTCATAATTTTGATAGAGAGCATTTTACTTTTTTTTTTAGTTCCAAATAGTTTCCAAATTTAGTTAAAACTCTGCTGTGGACCATTAATTATTATTTTGCTGTATGACTTTCAATATCTAAAATATTATATTCACTTATTTATTTGGTTATTCATTTCTAGTTTTATTTTAGTGGGGAATGGGTCTGTTTGATACCGGTGTTCTGGCATTTGTCAAGATTTGCTCTTTGACTTTGTAACAGCCTAGTTTTTATAAGTATTACATGTTTGTTGAAAAGAATACATTTTTTATCTAAATTTTGGGTACAGGCTTCTATATATGTCCATAAGATTAAAGTTGTTAATTTGTTCAAATTTTTAATAATCTTACCAGTTTTTTCCTGGTGTATATTCTTTCATTTTTAAATCTTTACTATGATATTAAATTATTAATTTTTCCCTATAATTATCAATATTTTTACAACTCTTTTGTAGCTATGTTGTTACATATTACTCAGAATTGCTATTCTGGGGTGTGTTCTTATATAATTAACAAATTTTTAAAAATCTTAATAATGAGTTGGCCTTAGAATCTCTTTGACAGATATTAATATGGCTTCCTTAACTTCACTTTGTTTAACATCCGCCTGCTGTGTCTCTTCTATTCCTTTTACCATTGTAGTGTCTTCCTGTTTGGGTGCATCCTTTACAACAGATTACTGCTGACAGTCGTAAAATATGTTCACTTTGGTTTTATGGGCCGTGCAGTGTGACAGTGCTGCCGTTTAATGGGGGAATTTGTGAACTTCATGTTGTTGATGTGTTTGGCTATATTCTCGTACTCTATCTTGTGCTATTTGTTACAGGTTTATATGCTTGTTTTTCTTTTTTCCTTCTTTCCTGCCTTTTATTGGCTCAGTGAAGTTTAGTTTTACTTCCGTTTTTTACTTCTTTGGAAATGATGCATTCTATTTCAAATATTTTAATGTTTATCTTAATTTTTTTCACATTCATTGTTTACATGAAGTCTGGAGTTAATCAGTTTTTCTACCATATTCCTAATCAATGAAGAATCTTAGCATATTTTACACCATGTACAAAAATTAACTCAAAATGGATCAAAGACCTAACTGTAAGAGCTGAAACTATAAAACTCTTGAAAGGAAAACACAGGGGAAAGTTTTTGATGTTGGATTTGGCAGGGACACCACACAACAGGCAGAAAAATAAACAACAGATGAACTGGGCAGCATCACCCGTGAAAACTGCTGTGCCCCCAGGTCACAGTCCTTGTAGGGAGAAGGTGACCTGTGGGATGGGGAAAAATAGTTGCACATCATATGTCTGGTAAGAGTGTTGTATCCAGAATGTGTAAATAACTCCTACAACTCAATAATAAATAACTCAATTCAAAATGAGCAAAGGACTTGAGTAGACATTTCTTTTAAGAAGGTACACAGATGACCGACGAGCACATGCAAAGATGCTCAGCATCACCCATCATTATGGAACTGCAGATCAAAACACGGCGAGATACTGCCTCGCACCCATTAGGATGGTTCCTCTGAAGAAGCACAGAAGGAAGCAAGTGTTGACAAAGGTGTAGACAAATTGGAACCCTTGCTCACTGTTCATGGGAATGTAAAATTCTGTAGCCTCTCTGGAAACGGTACGGCAGTTCTTCAAAAAATTAAAAATAGAATTACCGCATGATCCAAGAACTTCACGTCTAGGTGTGTACTCCACGAAACTGAAAGCAGGGACTTGGAAGGATGTTTGTACACCCATGTTCAGTAACAGCGTGATTCACAGTAGCCAGGGGACATAAGCAAATCTGTCCATTAACAGATAAATGGATAAATAAAACGTATGTGCATACACTGGGTGTTATTCAGCCTTCACAGGAAGGAAACTCTTAGATGCTGCAGCGTGGATAAACCTTACAAGCATTATGCTGAGAGGAATAAACCAGACAGAAGAGGACAAATACAGTCGGTTTTTCTTATATGAGCTCCCTAGACAGGTCACATTCAGTGAAAGTGCAGTGGTGGCTGCTAGGGCCTGGGGGAGGGGACGAGGGACCAGTTGTCCAGTGGGGACAGTCTCAACTCTGCAGGATGAAGAGAGGTCCAGAGATGGATGTGGTGAGGGTCGCACAACAGTGTACGTGTACTCAACGTCCCTGAGCTTGACACTGAGAATTGGTTATGGTGGTAAGGTTGATGTTATGAGTATTTTACCACCATTAAAAAGAATAATTAACAAGTAAATAAGATAAATATTTTTTAAAAAAGAAACTTAGACCACTTCAACCCTAATGCTCCCTTCAGAATTTGTTACTGTAACTAGGATTTTGGTTTCACCTTCCTTTCCAGTCTTCAAGTAGTTCCTCCTCCTTTGCCGCCTCCTTCTCCGTCTGTCCCTCCTCCTCCTCTTCCTGCTGCTCATCGTCCTCTTCCTTCTCTTCTTTGTCATTACTGCCTTCTTTGTTTACAGTTGCATCCGGCATCCCGTTCTTCCTTCTGGATTACATTTCTTGTTTTATGAACTGTGTTCTTTAATGCTTCTGTTTACGGGACAAGGACTGGGTATGGTAGTTCCCTCCATCCTTGTGGGAAAACATCTTTACTCAATCCTCATACCTGTGTTGCAATTAGGTAGGTAGGGGCTATAATTTTGGTAATTATTTTGTCTCGTTACTTTGAAGAAGTAATTTTCTTTTCTTCTGGCTGCTGTTAGCATTAATAATTGCTCTGTCAGTCTAATGGTCGTTCTTGCTTGGTAATCTCTTTAACATTCTTAATCTCTTTGCTTTTGGTACTCTAGTTTTTAACTACAATGTGCATAAATGTGTATCTGGTTTTCTTTACCTTTTCATACATTTTATGTATTTACTACTTTATTTCAATGACTAGGTTTTTTTAAACTTCTGGGACTTCTGTTTGATTTGATTTTTTTCATTTCTTTGTTCTTATGCTTTTAATTTTTTTAAATGTCTAATAAATTGAAACATTTCATGAAGTAGAACCGTCAGTTGTTAGGAGTCTAATTATATTGTTTGTTCGGATTTCTGGCTTTTGCTCATGACGTTTATTTGTGTAGTTGATTATGGGATTGTGCGCTCACTCACCTTCGATGGGCTTGCATGTGTGGGAATTCCATGTGGCCAGGTGTGAGCATGAGTGCCCAGAGCAGCTTTGAACTTGATGCTAGGCTTTCTGGGGCATCTAACTGGGGCCAGTATTTTTGCCAGTTTCTTGGCTTGAGAATTTCTGGGCCATAGAAGTTCTGTGAATTAAAACCCTAGATGGTGGGACGCTGTGACCTAAAGTTAGGGATTTGTAGCGGAGGGCGTTTTCTTCACGTATCAGCTGCGAATCAGGGTAGACAGAATGTCTGATCCTTTCTCCGCTCAGTGGCAGAGTTTGGAAATTCAACTTTCTGTTTACAGAATACCATCGAGGGTAACCGTTAGGGTAAAGGTTACATGGGGCAACCTCTCACTTCAAACCTCACATGAGCTCAGGACCTTTCCTTTGTCCTCAGTGTTAAAATCCAAGAGCCTAGGAAATGGAAACTGTCAATTCCCTAATCCCACTTGCACTTCAATGCTTCCCACCCCTGGTTCTCAGTGAGCTCTTCATCACTGGCCCTGAAGAGTTGTTATGTTTTAGAAAGTTTATATTTTTATTAAAAAAATGATCGTTTTTATTTTATCTGGTAATTTTAACAGTTTGGAATGTATGAGTTTTCAAAGTACTTAATCTAGGTATTGCCAAAGAGGAAGTCTGTTCTAGTGATTATTAAGAATGGTAATTTAGTTTGGAAAATTCAGAATATTAACCATTATTCTACCCTGAGAATGTCCATTTTATGGTATGTTCTTTTCAAACCATATAAAGAACCAGTTTTCTTTTACTTTAGAATATCTTACAAAATTTGTTCCCAGACTCTTTTTTCGCTATAATTTTCTAATGTATATCTAAGTTGCCATAATTGTATGCCCCAATTTTTGTTTATTGGCCTTTTATTTTTTAAAGAATATATTTTTCCTCTTTAATATTTTTAAAAATTAATAAGTAGTTTGCAGGACATTGTTATCATTTATTTCCTTAGGCTTCCATTAAGTATTTAAAATAATCTCCAAGTTGCTCAGAAGTATTAGCCATGTTTTTTCAGGGTTTTATCCCCATAACTAATTGTAAAATTTTCACAGTCCCAGTTTTTTGTGTGTGAGATTATCAGTAACAGTGTTCTAACAGTACCTGATGAAAGAAAGGCAGATAGATACAGGTATATATTAATCAGTTGTGAATTAATTTCAATGCAAAAAATAACAGTTTAGAAAAAAGTGTTCAAAACTCAATATTCAGTTTTGTGGTTGTGGCGTTTAAATCATATTGTTACCCTAAATGTGTCAATTTAGTAACAGCTGTAATAAAGGTTCTATTATATTATGGAACCTGGAGAACTATTAGTGTGGAGATTATGTAAAATTTAATTTATATGTTCAAGGAGGCTAAATTCAGATACTGACAAAGTTGTTATAAGATACTGTTTATTATATAAGTAAATGTAAATACTTTCAACTTAAAATTACTTGTTGCTGGTATTTATAGCAGAGTACTAAAAATATGAACTTCTTCAGGTCCAGTCCTCAGTGGCTGTCGGAACTCCAGATTACATCTCTCCTGAAATCCTTCAAGCCATGGAAGATGGAAAAGGCAGATACGGCCCCGAGTGTGACTGGTGGTCTTTGGGGGTCTGTATGTATGAGATGCTTTATGGAGAAACACCGTTTTATGCAGAATCTCTGGTGGAGACGTACGGAAAAATCATGAATCACAAAGTTAGTATACGTGTCTGTTTTTCATACTGATGGGAAATAATACGTGTAGTAAATTTAACGTGATTTAAAAAGAAGATATTTTTCTGAAAACAGTGAATAATCTAATTTCTACCCTAATAGGGGACGTGACAGGCCTGAATAATCAAAAGTCTATCATTATATGTAAAAAATTGCTAGTTTTAACCTTCTATATTTTATTAGAGAAGGTAATAAGTAGGAAATGAAACAGCTTCTACTAGAATAAACAGGTTGTTTTCAGTCATCACTGCTACAATGTAACCATGATTGAATGCATTTAAAAGATTCTCAGCCTCAGCAGTAATAAACGAAACACAAATTAAAATAAGCATGAGATACTTTTCCCCTGTCAAATTGATAAAAATGAAAAGAATAATAGTACTCCATACTGTGAGTAATCCAGTGCAATAGACATTATTGATAATATAAATTGATATACTCTTCCATCAAAAAGTTTCTAAGTATGCATCCAGAGTCTAAAAAATGGTAGGAACTCTTGATTGAGCAACTCCAGCTGTAGGAATCTACCCAAAGGAAATCTTCAGTAGAACAAAGATGTACGTACCAGAATACTTCTTCCAGTATTGTGATCACAAAGTGCGGGGAACAATGCGGATGCACAACAGGAACGAGTTAATAAAACTTTAACCCCCTCAGGACAAAATGAGGTGGAAATAGATGGTTCATAACAAAAAAAAGGATGGGTTTGATTGCTTGGTCTCGGAAAGTTATGAGCAATTGGAAGGATCTGGAATGTGACTAGGAGTATCCCATAAAGGGCCAGTCTGTTCTTTTTAATTTGCCCCAGTGACAGTTACGATTACTTGCTTCACACATACATAAATCAGTTTTACGGAACTGATGCTCTTCTCCCTGGTTGCAAAGATGCTCTACTAAATGGTGATGAACAGTCGAAGGATAGTAAGTAGCCACAGAGTGGAAAGCATGTAAAGCATTTCAGAGAGAAATCACTGTGCTGTAATGATCGTGCAACACGATTGTTCAGAGCACAGCTTCTGGAGTCAGACAGCTGCCGTCGAATTCCCAGCTCTGCGATTCCTGGGTGTGTGGTCTCGAGAGAACTGCTGAACTCTGTGCCCTGTTTCCACTTCTGTAGAAGTCAGGGTGGTAGTAGTACCTCCCTGTGCTGACTGCTCTGAGGCTCGAGGAAAACTCTTCCAACAGTGTTAAGTCCATATCACATTCTTTCAAAATGTTTATGGTTATCACTTAATCATTAGTATGTGGCTTCTGTGAACCATCCGTGCTCTCCAAATATTCAGGAAAATTCTATTTTAATGAATATTCTTGATTTTGACAGTAGTTTAAGGTATTTTAGCATTTAATTTATTATCTTTACAGTACATGTATGACTGAGTCAAATATGAAATTGAAAGTTTTTCACATAGACATTCTTTACTCATGCCTGTATTTCCTTCAGCATCAGTATTTTGTATCAGTCTAAACTTATTAGATATTTTAAAAATAAAATGTATTTTCAAGACAATAAGTGTTAAGCAACTTGGTAAGTTAAATACTGATTTATATCTGTTTCTTTTATTCTGTTTAGGAAAGGTTTCAGTTTCCGCCTCAAGTGACAGATGTATCTGAAAATGCCAAGGATCTGATTCGAAGGCTCATTTGCAGCAGAGAGCATCGACTCGGTCAGAATGGAATAGAAGACTTTAAGAAACATCCCTTTTTCAGTGGGATTGACTGGGATAATATTCGAAACTGTGAAGCACCTTATATTCCAGAAGTTAGTAGCCCAACAGATACATCGAATTTTGATGTGGATGACGATTGTTTAAAGAACACTGTGAGTATGACAATGTGAAGTTCTGTCCCTGTTCTTTGTAACATGGTTGTGGAGAAACGTTATGGACCATCTTATCAGTGATCAGACAGTAATGGCTTCTGGTATTTATTTTCTCACAAGTTCAAGAAATTGAGAGAATGTGCTGAGCTGAACTTAGTTATTCATGACTAGGAGCAAAATTAAGATTCAAAGGTTTACTTCTTAGATTAGTTATGCCATTAGAGTTCCTAAAACGTGGATTTCATGATGGCAGCATGAAGCGGCAAGCACATCTCTCCTAAAACCACCGTGAAACTGGACAAAATGGTCACAGCCATTTCAGGGCTTGACCAATCCACCATAGTAAATAAATTGAGAAACACCTCCTCATGAAAAACCACTGAACTTTGGTTAGGAACAGCTCCCCACCCCCTTCGCTCTGCGTGGGCGGGGCCGCAGAGCTGCCAGCCTGGAGCTCCAGCAGTTCTGCTGCCCGAGGGGCTGATGGGTCGGAGAGCTAGGGACCCGGACCCAGTGGTGTCACCGCTAAAGACCGCAGACCTGGCAGGGACTGAGTGGGCAGAGAAGACCTGCAGCGGGACCAGCCGGAAGTTGCAGCCCTGTTGGGGGCAAGTGGCAGGCCGGCAGGTCAGCCAAAAAGCCAAGTATTTTTAGCTCATGGCCAGTGTGGTTTGTCAACCTTTGCCCTAAACCATTACGTCATATCAAATTAGAATTTAGAAAAAAAAAAAAAGACCATAAAGTTTTTATGTTTTTTGCCTTTTTAGCCTTCTTAGTTTGAATTTTCATTGTAATTATTTTATTCTGCACTAAGAATTTTTATATGAATTTTATATCCCCTTTCACTGTTTGGTAAGTAGGTAAAAGAAGGCAAGTACGATATGATTTCACTTATGTGTGGAATCTAATGAGCAAAATAAACTAACAAAATGGAAGCAGACTCGTAGAGACAGAGAATAGAATGCCAGCTGTCAGAGTGGAGGGAGCTTGTGGGGCTGGGTGGAAAAAGTGAAAGGAATAAGCAAAAAAACCCCAGTCCTCCCTAAACGCCCCCTCCCCGAAATCATGGCCACAGACAATATGGTGATTACCAGAGACAACAGAGGGTGGAGAGAAGCGGGGGGGGGGGGGGGGGGGGGGGGGGGGGGGGGTGAGAGGGTGAGGGGTGGATGGTGATGGAAGGAGACTGGACTCAAGGTGGTGAGCACACACTACAGTATACAGATGACGTGTTACAGACTGCACACCTGAAACTGTACGTTTATTAACAAGTGTCACCGCAATAAATTCAGTAAAAATTTAAAAAATAACCCCTTATACTTTCCTCTCTAAACATCACAAAAAAGAGTTAGACTTTCCTCATCAGTTTTCTATTCTAGGATTATATTTACCATTAACAGAAATTGTGAATCATTCCAAAGTAAATACACAGTGCAGTCAGTTATTATTTATGGTAGTTATGGTTGATGACATTGCTGTGAACACTGTTACTGGAGAATAGTGAACCATTGCCCCTGGGGAAAATAGGTGCAGGTTCCTGTGAGCCTGTGGTCAACACATTTTTATCAACCGATCAGTATGTAACTTTTTTCTACGTGTATTTCTACTTAAAGACAGCTTATTTAATAGATATTGCCGATGCGTCTGCGCTGAGCTCACGCCCAGCAGCACTGTAAGTCATGCTGAACGGGCGCGCCGCCGCTTTCTGTTCGTAAGGCACACCACAGCCTTCCTGCGCAGGAACAAAAGACGGCGCGTTGGCACCGTGCTTGGGGGCCATGTAAACAGAAAATCACCCATAAGAAGCACGGAGCTGCAAAACGTGGTACACTTAGACCCAAAGAGCATACATTCTGCGCGGTGTGAGAGCCGACACAAGAAGGCAGGTGTCCCTTGTTCAGCTCCAGCCGGGAGCGTGTGTAGGGCAGCCCAGAGTTTGCTTTGCTCCGCGCCTGTCTACTGAAGTGCTGTGAATACTGGTTTTGGGTTACAAATAAATGTCAGTGACCAGGCAAATTTGCAGATATGGACTACGTGAAAAAGGACTGTACGCTCTCTGTCAGTCAGACTTTTCATCTTTCATTTTATTCGAATTTTACGATAGCAGTGTTCATGGTCTAAATATATCACTGACCATCTGTACCAAACTTACCAGTGTTTCCGAATTGAACATTCGCATGTTTCCCCGTTGGCAGTTCATTTTTACAGCCGGCAGGCCGCAGGTGTCCAGTTCTCACCAGGTGTTTTTACGTCCTGTAGGAGACGATGCCGCCACCAACACACACGGCGTTTTCTGGCCACCACCTGCCATTTGTTGGTTTTACCTACACTAGTAGCTGGTAAGTTTCAGACGTTGACATAATTTGCACAATTTAAAGAAAATGAAAATGAATTGTGGTTTAAAAGTATATAATGTGTAAGAGAACTTTGTAAATCAAAAATTAAAAATAGCCTGAAGCTACTGCTGGACTAAATTAGACATTTCAAAATGAATAGAACAGAGAGAATCGTTACTCTTTTGGGGGGAGAAGGAATAGGACAGATGGCTCAGAATCTAACAGCAGTGGGGCGGGAAATAGGGGCGTCCCCTGCTGTCGAGTTAACGCTCTCCAGACGTCAGGAGACAGAACTTTCAACTTCTTCACCTTCTTTAGTCTTCACCGTCTTGTCACTGACCCTCGCTCCACTCGTCCCTTCTCTGTCCCCCTCACCCAGGTCAGATTTCCTGGACAGTGACTGAGGTATCTCCTTGTGAGTGTCCCTCAACTACTCAACTGTCTTTTTGTCCCACTGGCTTTGCTAAGTTGACATTCATTATTACAATTCAGTATTCTGCCTATACCTGTGCAGTTCAGTGTCTAGGAAAAGTATGTAGCTGTTCTTACTGGCCTCACCTCCAGTCAGGATCACTGACTCCAGGTTCCTTACACTGCTGGGCAGGTCACCCTGTTACCCTAGTGCCTGTTCACGCCTCCACTGCCCTGGAGGCTGTTCCGGATTGTGCTCTTTCCTCCCAACACAGTCGTCCTCACTCTCTCCTGACCTCACTGCCTCTCCCACCAGAGGACGAAGCAAACCACAGAAACTTCCACAGCTCCCATCGCCACGTTTACGTCCCGCACACGCCTGGGCCCACATGCTTTTCTTGTTACGCGTGAACTGTGAGCTGAGGCCCCCCCCCGCCCCTTCCCTCCCCCCCCCCTCCCTGCTCCCTCGTCGATTTTTCCCCTTCTCTGTCATCCGCACGGTCCGATCATCCGCATCAGCCCACCAACATGCAGTGCTTCCTCCCATTTTACAGCCAAGTGTACACTCTCTCTTAACCCCACTTTCTTTACCTGCTACCAGCCATTTCTCTGCTCCACATTACAGCAAAATTACTTCCAACTGTTGCCTGTATTTTGTCTTTTTTCCTCACTGTTTTTTTCTTGACACCACTCCAGTCAAGTCTGTGCCCCCATCACCCCACGCAGACTGCTTTTGTCACTCTCACCACCGACCTCCATGTGGCTAAACTTAGTGATCAGTTCTCGGTCCGTCTGACTGGCCTGCTCTCATCTAATTTGTCCTGACTCTTTACCACTAAAACGCGCTCTTCTCTGGGCTTCCAGTGCACCCCCTGACTTCTCCTCGCCTTTCTGGTCTGCTGCCTCCCGATCCGCCTTGTCCCGCGGCTTAGTCTTTGGGTCTTTCCCACTCACACTGCCCAGTGCTCTCACGGGTTCTTACTCACGGCTCCTGGTGTGCACTTCCAGCTGAGACCGCCTCCTCTCTCCTGCTTCAAGTCTCTCTCCCCCACCTACTTCACATGTTCATGGCTTGGGTTCTTACTTTCTCTGCACCTGGCTGAGTGATCCTGCTAAAAAAGTTAGGTTAGATCATGTCATTCCCCTTCTCAGGACCGCCCCCACCGCCCCCACCTCTGGTGACCTTGGACCCCGACTCCAAACCAAAGTTCTGACAAGGCCCTGCGTGGCTGTCTCACGTCACTTACCTTCCTGATTCTGCCCACTACGACTGTTCCCCTTGCTCACCCCATGCCAGCCACACAGGCCTCCTCTCTGGCCCATGAATGTGCCAGACGTACTCCTGTTTGCAGGGTTTGCACTTCTGTTCCATCCGCCTGGAATGCTTTTCCCCAGTATTCCCAGAGCCCCCCCCCTCTGGGCTCCAGTCAGAGTTACTTTCCGAGTGACGACTTTCCTGACCACTTTATCTAAATTTTTATTTCCTCCCTCTCAGTACTTTATTTCCCCCTTTCCCTCACTTGTTTTTTCTTTAGCATTTAATGTTATGTAATGTACTGAATATTTTACGTATCTTGGTTATTTTTGTCTCTGTCACTGGAGAATGAACTCTACATTGGGCACGTTTTATTCTCACTATTGAGTGTCCAGCACCTCAAATATTTTTATTTAAATTTTGTTACATTGAAGAAAGCATCTCACCTTTGAATTCTGAGTTCCAGGGAGGAGGACCATGGTGGTGCTTTTGACCACCAGTTCACTGAGATGGTTACGTTGTTTTAAGCTGCCAAAAATCCCTCAGCAAACTTCATTTTACAATTTTTGGTTATTAATATAAATGCAGGGTAATTTGGGTTAAATCGGTTTTCATTTTTTAAAAATGCTTCTAAAAAGTCGTTTATGCTGATTTTGCAAAGAAGAAAAGTTCCACTGTCATTCTAGATGGCTACCTACAACGAGGTATTCAAATCCACGTTTTAAACAAATGGTTTCCGAAGGTTACCTTTCTTCTTTAAGCTTTGTGTTCCGGTGTAAATGCACGTTTCCCCTCTCCCCAGCGTCCTTTCCGACCGGAGCTGCTTGAGAGTCAGCGCTGGCCCTGCTTCCCTGGATCTGGACGCCAGCGTCCAGAGGACCCTAGAGAACAACCTGGCAACGGAGGCTTATGAAAGAAGAATTAAACGCCTTGAACAGGAAAAGCTGGAATTGAGTAGGAAGCTGCAAGGTGAATATAGACAATATGTTTCCTTTTTGAATTGGACTCAGTGTTAGGGGCTGTCTATTATAAGTGGTTGCTTTATCTTGAAAATAATTTTTTTTATGAAGTAGAGAAAAATCAGGTTGTAGAAATTTATGCAGAATACAGTGTAATATTTATGTAAATTCACAAAATCAATAGGAAACAAAATGGCATTGGTTTCCCACAGGTATCTGTGTGTACGTGTGTAAACACACACACAGGAGTGGGCCAAAGTAGGTTAAATGACCAGCCAGTAGTGCCTAAAAGGTAAACCATTAGTATGGATACAAAATAAGGAGATAAATAATACAAATAATTTATACAGTAAGTAATAATAATAATACGAGGAAGAACTCTGTTTTGTGTACTCACAATTGTACCCCTACTTTTGCTCACCCCTGTATAAAAGATGGGTGGGAAAAAATGAGACACAGACATTGATTTGTTGATCCATTTATTGATGTACTTGTCAGTTGATTCTTGTATGTATCCTGACTGGGGATCGAACCTGCAACCTTGGCATAGCAGGAGGATGCTGTAACCTCCTGTTTCTGTTTACCTTTGTGGGTTGATGGTTCCCCCTGATGACACGCTCATGCCTCCCCCTCCTTTTGTTTTATGTCTGTACCCCAGATTTTTGCTTTGTAGTTACACAAGGGTTACGTAAAATGTCTTATGGATAGTCTGTTTTTTCTGCTGATAGTCCTTTATCTTCATTCACCTATAAAAGTTCCGTCTTTTATTCCCCCCTTTTATTTCCTGATGTCACAAATTCTCTCTCTCTCTCTCTTCAGTGTCAATTTGTTACCAAATTGTAGTAGCTATAGTTATTTTCAGTGCTTTTTTTTTCTTTGACATTTGTTCTATACTAAGAGTTTACCACTATCCTAAAATAGAGCTACAGTTTTTCCTAATTCTGGCTGTCATCTTAATCAGGGTTTTGTGTACTTTCATCTTTTCATTTTAGGTTGCAGAGCTCCTGTCACCATTTCTCCTAGGTGAGAAATTTCCCCTCCGCTTTTGTTTACCTGGGAAAGTAAACAGAACTTTAGGTTTTGTTCTCCTTAGCAGCAGAGGAAAAATTTACTGGCTAGCGTATTCTTGGCTGGCCATTTTTATCTTTTAATACTCTGAGAATGTGATTCCACTCTCTCCTGGACTATAAACTTTCTGCTGAGAAATCTGCTTATATCCTAATGAGGCTTCCTTTGTGGGGTTTTTTTTTCCTGGCTTCCTTTAAAATTAGTTCCTTATCATTGACTTTTGATCATTTTACCTTACTGTATGTTGGAGGTCTTTTTGCATTGAGGTGATAAAGTGTTCTATCAGCCTCTTGGACTTGGGTGTCTAATTCTCCCCCAGGTTTGGCGAGTTCTCAGCTATTTTTTCTTTAAGCACGCTGCCTCCTCCTCCCTCTCTGATCCTTCTGATACACCCGTTATTTATATGCTGGCTTCTCTGATGGAGTCAGACAACTCTTGTAGGCTTTCTTCACTTTTTCCAAAATTAATTCTCTTTCCTTTTCACCGGAGTCATTTGTAACACCTTTTGTACAGCTTGCTCTTCTCCCTCCCATGCGATCTGCTCTGTGTCCAGGACTCTGTATCTAATGCATTCTTCATCCCATGTACTGAGTTCTTCAGCTCCAGAATTTTTGCTTGGTTCTTTTATAATTTCAGCCTCACCGGGAAATCATTTATTTTGTTCATTAATCTTATTCCTGAGTTCACCGAATTGCCTTTCTAAGTTTTCTTTTACTTTGTTGAATGTCTTCATAGCATCTATTTTGAATCCTCTATCAGATTGCAGTGTTCCGGGTCTGGGAGTTTGGCTGCTGAAGAGCCGTCATTTCCTTTTCTTGTGCTGCAGCACTGTGGTCCTTCAGTATCTTCCTTGTTTAGGGAGGGAAGACTTGGTTTGCTTTGATTCGAGCAGTGGAACAGCTTGGCAACCAAAAGCCTTTCTTTGGCTTCTTTGGCTTTCCAGAAGGTGGCGATACAGCACAAGGTTTTGGTCACTCTTAAGGGAGTTGACTTTAAATAGGCTTAAATGCTGGCGGCAGAGTTAGTCCGAGGTGTGTGCTTAGCACCTGCTACTCTGGGTGTGCTCCCGACCTGGTAGGGGGAACCTCAGGTTGGGGAGTCCCAGAGGTCTGTGGGCGGACAGCGTGCAGTTTAGTTCTCTTTGTCTGCCCTCTCCCCGGTCCTCCCCGGTCCTCCTCGGTCCTCCCCGGTCCTCCCCGGTCACCGAGGTCTCTCCTCAGAAAGCCAGGTGCTGCTGAAGAGCACAAGGCTCCCCCCAGCGGCAGCGCTCTGGGCCAGGCAGACGTACTCACTGTGCTCACTCTCTGTCTCCCCTGCTAGAAAGGGCTCTGCTGCCACCCCCCCCACCGTAGCTCCCACAGCTCTGGAGCCCCCCCAGGTCAGGTCCACCCACCTGTGGGTCTGCGGTGGGATGGGCCTCTCGGGTGCACTGGACCGCTGCACAGGACGCCTGTGTCTAGTAGTGGCTGTCCAGTTAGGTGCAAGTCACGGGAGATAGAGGAATGACCCATGTCACCGTGACGCTGCTGTTACTCTGTTTTGATTTTTAAGTGGTGTTATACATACAGCAAAGTGTGCATAAATGTTCATATATGTGCAGTCACGTAACCTTTACCCCAAATGTACAAGGCAGTCCTAGCTTAGCATAAAGCTCCTCCGTGCCCTCTGCCCTTTAGTTTTCCAGCACTCAAGTAAACACTGTCCTAATGTTTTGTTATTAGTTAATTTTATCTGTTCCTGAACTTCACATAAACTGTATCATATAGTATGATCTCATTTGTATCTGGCTTCTTTCGCTCAATGGGTTTTTCAGATTCATCTGTTATGTATTTATCAATAGTTCTTTTTTGTACTGCTGTTTAGTGTTACATTGTACATTAATACTAAAATCATGTTTATCTAATGTCTTAGTATGTTCTGGCTTGAATAACCAAATCCAACATATTGGGTGGTTTAAAAACAACAGAAGTTTATTTCTCACAGTTCTGGAAGCTGAAGTCCAAGGTCAGCATGCCCCCATGGTCACGTGAGGGTTCATAGCCAGTGTCTCCTTGCTCATCCTCAGCTGGCAGAAGGGCCTAGGGATCTTCAAGGGCTTTCTTTTATGAGACCCTGATTACATTCATGAGGACTCCACTGTAAAACTCAAGTACCTACCAAAGGCCCCATCTTCTAATAACATCATCTTTGGGTAGATAGAATTTCAACATATTAATTTGGAGACGGGGCACAAACATTTAGAACATTCCATGTGATTTGTTGCTGTTGAGCGTTTGGGTTATTTCCAGATACTGACTTTTATGCACCTAACTTCTGAGAATGATCTCTCTCTCTCTCTCTCTCTCTCTCTCTCTCGGTCATATGTATTTATTTCTCTTGGACATCCAGCTAGGAGTAGGATTTCTGGGACATGGGGTAGTGTGTTTTCAGCTTTTAGCAATTCTGGTGTCTGTATACTAGAGTAGGCTCTGATTTTAATTTGTGTTTCTCTAGTAAGTAATGAGGTTGAGTGTCTTCATATATTTGCTATACATTTGGATAGTCTTGTGAAGTCCCCATAGAACATTCTTCCCCTTTTTTTCTGTTAGGTCTTCATCTGTGTTTTTCTAAAAAATAACTTTTGCTTACCACTTCACAGACAGCGTAAAACCTTGCGACAGCCCTCTGTGTGATTGTCGTCATAAGCTTTATCTCTACGTTGTAAACCTTTCAGTGCGTTTATGTTCTTGTTACTTTACATTATTTCTTTACCTGTTAATTTTTTTAAAACATCTTTTTATTTACCTAAATATTTACCCTTCTAGTGCTCTTTATTTCTCCCTGGTGATTTGTTTCCATCTGGAGTTGTTTTTCTTTAATCTGAAAATGTCCTTTAGTATTTCTTTGGATGTATGACAAAGCCTCAGGTTTTGTCTTGAGATGCCTTTGCCTTCACTTCTGAAGGACCTCTTGCTGTGTTGGACGTCTGGCCTTTTCTGCCTTTCATTGCTGTGCAGGGACCACCCTGCTGGTTTCCCGCATCCACTGTATGTGAAAAAACAGCTGTTCACCTCGGTTTCTTGCATGCGCACTGGTTTTCCTTTCCTGGCTTTTAAGCTTTTCTCCTTAACTTCAGTTTTAAGCAGTTTGACTAGACTCTGCCTACGTACAGTTTACTTTGTATTAATATAAAATCCTGTGTGGGATGTGCTGAGTTCCTGGAATCTCAATTGACATCTTTTATCAATTTTGGAAAACTCCCAACTGTAATCTCTGTGGACACACATATGCGTGTGTTTGCCCCATTCACTCCTCCCCTTCTGGGACCCCACTGGTGTCTGTATGTTGGGCTGTGGCCCACATTTCTTATCCTGATCCTCCCATTCTTAGTCTCTTTGTGTTTAATTTGAATATTTTCTATTGACTGGCCTTCAGGTTCATTACTCCTGTCTCCTACTGAGTCTTAATTTCAGGTATAGTCTCTTTTAGTTCAGTAATATCCATTTGGTTCTTTCCTACGGTTTGCATTTCTCTGTTGAAAATGTTCATCTTTATGTTTTTCTCTATTTTTTAATGTCCTTGGGTGATAATTCCAACCACACAATTATTTGTGGGTCTCACTGTATTTTCTGGCCTTTTCTCCTGATTATTGATCACACTTTCATGCTTTTCAGATGTCTCACAATTTTTACTGAACGACAAATATTATGGGTAAAAGTAACATATAGATGTTTGCGTTATTTTTACTCAGATAGAGTTTTCCCTTTCTCTGTTCTGGGCTGCAGGTAGTAGGGTTCCTAACCAATATGGGTTTATTATCTCACTGAAATCAGAAATAGGTGGGTTCAGTGCTGATCATGGGGTTGGCTCCGTGGTCGTGCTGGCCTCCCCTCACGGTGCCACAGTGTTGCCGAAGCTCTAGACGTCATGTGTTCATGCATCCACAAACCCCAAAAGAGAAGTTCCACTTTCTCTCATTCATGTCTTACTTAATGGAGATTAAAGTCTTTCTGTGAAGCCCCCTAGTGGACTTCTAAGGTATACCCAGGTCGCATACCTAACTCTTAACTAGTACTGGTGATGTAGAATGGGATTACCATAACTGGCTTAAACCGCCCACAGTTTTGGCTGGGCCCACTTACCTGTGCACACTGAAGCCTGATACCTGAGCTGGTTTACAAGCAAAGAGAGAGGACTAGCTGCTGGGTAAGAACCCGACAGAGTCTGCCACCGGGGCTGTGTGTGTCTGGGAAGACACGGGGTTGGGTAGATTGTCTATTCTGACGTTAGGGTCACTAAGAATAATAGAGTTGTAATGGGAAGAGGGGCAGCAGACAGTATGTAAAACTGTTACTCAGAGAAAGAGTAGCACAGCGGGTAACTATATAAGCAGGTAGAGGGCATCGTAGCAGGCCTGGGACTTACGGGGAGGGCAGCGATGACAAAAATGAGCAAGGACACCCCCCATGCCCACCCTGCAGAATGTGGGGTGTCGGAGGAAAAGTAGCTCCTGCTAATGTCCACTGGGTATTTTTATGTCTCCTCATTCTTTTCTCCCAACTTAGATGTCTTTAAAATAAACAAAGAGTATTTTTTTTAAAAACAATAAAATACAAAAAGCATGAATTTCCAGCAAACCCAAAGTTGAAGAAACATGTAAGAACTTCTTATTGGGCATAAAATATCATGATTGGATGCACAGTATGGTTGTATTTTAACCTTTAATTCCAATTAACAAATATTTATTTACCATTGTTCATAATGATGATGATGGTATTCTCTGTAGAGGTGGTGAAGATGAATTAGAAAAATCTGTCCTCTGAAGGTCACAGTCGTTTGAAGTTTAATCAGTTATATGTGTATAATATAGTTGAGCAATTACATAAATTATCTAAGTAACAAATTCCATAAAGCAGCATATAAATAAGTACAATCATGCACCATCTAATGACGTTTCAGTCAACAGTGGGTCTCGTACACCATATACCCTGCTGGTCCTGTAAGATTATAATGGAATTGAAAAATTCCTTTGGCTTAGTGACACCGTCGCTGTCAGAAAGTCGTAGAGCAACTCGTTAATCGTTTGTTTGTGGTGGTGCTGGTGTAAACAGATCTGCACCACCAGTCACGCAGCAGTGTGGCACGCAAGTCAGTAGGTTTGCTGGGCGCGCTCCGTGATGTTTGCGCTTCTGACGACCGGGTGGTGTTACGTGGTACCTGACTGGTGTAGAGCAGTTAGTGGCATTTACGCCAACAAAAAGTTGGGGTGAGGTAGAGACTTACTATTTGGGAACCCTCTATGAGATAGCAGAAGAGCAATTTTAGGACAAGTGGGGTTTCATTTGACATAAATGGTTTTAAAGTTTTTTTACTCCATATTTTTTGATACTGTCAGGAATAAGCCTGAATCGAGTTAACATTTCTGTAATACCTTGCATCTTCTAACTAGAACCACAAGGTCAATAATCTCTATTTTAACCAAACTGTGAGCCAAAGCCATCTGTGGGTGGGCCTCAACTTTCACAGATGAAACTGGAAGGCCAGCACTTTTGCACACCCTGGCGAGAAACCGTTAAGAACAATAGAGTTAAGTAAACTGGGGGATGAGCACCCCCAAACCTTCCCTCATACACCGTCTCCATTTTCATTTGTCCGACAGTGCTTTGGGGGTGTCACATGATGGTGCTTTCCTGCCCCCGCTGTGTGTTTTCATGTTAAAGACAAGTGCAGGGGAGTTTATGACTTAAAATTAATGTGTTTGCAAGCTTTTTTCCCCAGTAGGTAGATGTTTTGATTAGTAGAATTATATTAGGATTTCTCTAGAAAGAAATACATATGGCTGTTCGTTGTAAAAATTTCAAGTGTGGCCCGATTCCTTACTCTCTCTTTTACTGACCTGTTTTAAGAGTCGACACAGACCGTCCAGGCCTTGCAGCATTCCACTGTCGACGGCCCACTGGCGGCGAGCAAAGACTTAGAGATCAGAAACTTGAAGGAAGAAATTGACAAACTAAGGAAACAAGTAAGAGGTAAATTTCTGTTCATTTTAGTAGATTTTAAAAAAATCTTTTATTTGCACACAAAATGCTTATTGTTAGTCACATGTTACATGCTTCGGGCTGTGTGCCAGTGAGGGAAGCGAAGTAAGACGGGTGTCTGCTCTCCGGGAGCTCACAGTTGGCCTGGGGAGGAGACAAACGAATGGTTTTTGCCAGACATGTGTGCGGGCTGTGGGGAGAATAAACACAGGAGGAGCACCTAACCCAGGTTTTAGTTATGAAGATGACTCTTTTGGAAGACCTGTTAGTTTAGGATACTCCGTTGGAATTCGTCTGGCAAAGTATACATATGAGGAGGGGAAAGAGTGTTAGGAGTGAGGAAGGAAGGTCAAAGGAATGCCACCTGTACAGGCGTTAAGGCATGTTAAACTTTATTTTCTTTGTAACAGTTTATGTTTCAGTGTATTGCTGAGATAGATTAAAAATAATTTTGACAACTCTCGATATACCTAGTGTATCCATTCATTCAACAAATATTTATCGAGCACCCATTGTGTGTTACCAGGTGTGGTTTTAGGCCCTGGGGATGCTAGAAGGCACAAGTGCTTAAAGACAGCAGGATAAGAGGAGTGGGTCACAAGTGCAAGAGGAGGAGTTTTTACATGTTAAGCCGGGTCGTCCAGGTAGGAGCCTCACTGGGAAAGTGACACGTGAGCACAAGCCTGAAGAAGGGAAGGGGTCTGGCCATGCAGTTGAATTGGGAACTTGCATTCCAAGCAGAAGGACCAGCCAGTGCAAAGGCCATGCAGTCAGAATGGGCCTCTTGAGTTCAGATGAGATGTGGAGGACAGTGTGGCTGGAGTAGAATGAGCAGGTTTGCAGGGAGGATGGAAGGGACAAACTGGGCAGGTACAGGGCTGGAGAGGGCCTGGCTTGATCAGTGGGGTCTCACTGAGTGTTTTAGGGACTTTGGATTATTTCTGAGTGAAATAGGAAACTTTTTCAGGGTTTGGAGTCATCTCTGTCCCCTTCCAGCCCCTCCCCTAAGCTATGGAAGTCAAGGAGAAATCTAGGGAGTGGATAGAGGCACTGGTCGATGCTGTGCCCCTCAAGATGGGAAGTACAATCCAGCTCCGAAGAGCTGCGCATTATTGTAGGGATAAGGGCGTAATGGAAGAGCTGTGGCAGTGCTCTCGTGAGTCAGAGACCCTCAGACCGTTCTCCCAGTCCCCCCGACTCTGTCTCAGCCCTGTGCAGTTTACCCAGTGCAGCTCCGCAGACGATTCTCGAGATTCTAAAATAAACTATGCTGTCCATGGCAGCATTTAGACTTTCAAAACCCCAAAGATGGATAAACTTTTATTATTAAATCTGTGACTTTAGGGCAGTAAGTATTAGTTATTGAATTTAAGAAATCTGGAACCAGTGAGTGTGTGACACACTGACACACTTAAGTGACTCTGTCGGACTAATGTATTATAAACACTTGGTTTGTGGACAGCATTTAACTCAACAATGCACAATGGTGTATGTATTTGCGCTCATACCTTAATTTGCAAACAAGTCACCTAGGAATCTTATTAAAATCCAGGTTCGGCTCAGTGGGTTTGGAGTGGGGCCCGGGATTCTGCATCTCTGACAAACTACCAGGGGGAGCTGACACTGCTCGTTGGGAGTAACGAGGCTGAAAAGAGCAGGAAGTGCCCCGCACAGAGTTGTCAGCGAATGCGTTTCAGTTTTTCTGTTTTCAGTGGCTTGTTCTTTAAATATTATCAGGAACATTTTATTTCCACTTATTATTAAATATCATTTAAATATATACTAAAGTTAATACTTTTATTTTATTTTGTAATTTTTAACTTATCATGCTAAACATTATTTAATATCATTACTTTCTAAATTGGAGAGGTTGATGCAAGAATTTCCGGGCTCAAAGAAAACAGGGGAAAAAAAGCCCTTCTGTGCCTTGAGTCTTAGCTCTGATACTCAGTCAGCCCCGTGACCCTCGTCTTTTTATCTCAAAAACAGAGGTACTGATTTCTTTTTTTGTATTTAGTTATTTTTCAAGTACAGTTTTTTGTCTATTTCTCTCATCCCAGCCCCCCCATCCCATGCTCCCCACTTCCCTCCCATCTCCACCCCCCCAGCTCTCTTCCCTGCGTCCTTCACATTTGTTCCTCCAAATCCCTCCCTCCTTCCCCCTTAAATTTCCTTCCCTCTCCAGAGGAACTGATTTCGATGGAAGGTTTTCAGGTACTTACTTTCAGAAACCAAAGTTTCCTCTTCAGTCGTCACTAGTGAAACCAGGTTGGGGGATCTGGAACCACAATATTGGAAGCAAAAGCATCTTACAGTGATTTGACTGACCTGACTGCCTTGTTCATTTGGCTGGTTTTGCTCTTCTTTGTTACTTTTACTCTGTTAATTGGTTCTGAAGGTACTGTTTTTAGAAGTATGGTCTTTTTAGTCTAATAGCTATTTAGGGCACTTTGTACATTTTCACATTGGCATTAGTTCCTCAGCATCTTTTATACAAATAGTAAATGAAACATTGTCTTCTCTTTCAGAATCGAGTCATTTGGAACAACAGCTTGAAGAAGCTAATTCAGTGAGGCGAGAGCTAGATGATGCTTTTAGACAAATCAAGGCTTATGAAAAACAAATCAAAACATTACAGCAAGACCGGGAAGAGTTAAATAAGGTAAAAACATAGATTGTTAAAGGCTTTTCTGAATTCTTAATCTTGTTTAATTTGTGTATTGAAAGCATTCATATACAGTAATACTAATGCATTGTAAAAAGTTGGTTTAAAAATTTAAGATTTGGTGTATATCATTTGATTAATAGCTAGTAATGAAAAAACATATTCAGGCTTTAAAATTCAGAATCTTTTGTTCTTTTGCAAAGTTAATATTCAAAGGACTGATTAAAAATGAAATTTATTGAAAAAGAAATGTTATCAAGAAATAAGAATAATAAAAATCAGTTTAGTGTCTGTACAAATTAAAGATACAGGCACATTTTCATTGTGACTTGCTGATATCAAAATTCTTAAGATTATATTAGAAAATTTCTTTAATGCTTTAATGATTTTTTAAAAATGTCAGTTTATCTTTTACAGCATAGGTGAACAAACTAAAATTATGTTCATAGGAGCTCTGTGCAACACTTGAACAGCGTTATACACATCAACAAAATATATTAACAGCTGGGACACTGTAATGCAGCTCAATAGGGAAAATAAAACTAAGCACTAGAGAAAATACTTAGCTTAAACCACATGTTGTGTGTACCTTGCCTTTCACTGATGGATATTTTAAAATGTTGGAATTAATACTAGCCAGTGTAATAAAGAAATGAGTGGCTTATGGTGCAGTATAAATTGCATTCAGTGATGTAGCATATGATACATTGAAAATGCAGAAGGAAATCCCTCTGCGGGGAATTTATAAGTCTTGCTTTCAATAAAGAAATAGAGGTAATTAAAAATAAAACAAATAACCTTTTGCTGATGTGGCTAATAACAAAACACTAATAGAGAAATCTATAAAGGTTAAATTGAATTAGGTTAGTAAATTGAATTTTTACTTTTTTCTTGATGTAGTTTCAAGCAGTGTTGTATATAGATTCATTTAAATTTATGGCCAATTTAATAATATTTGGAATTTATGGATGTTGTGTTTGTCTTAATAATATTGTAGTAATGTTAGTGGCTACTGTTAGGTATTTAAAGGTAGGACTACTCAGCTAAACTTAGTTAACATAACAAGATGAGAAGCTGATATCCAGATGTATAATAACGGGTTATTAATTATGGTGTATTTGCTAATACACTGTTAATGTTAACATACAGGGTCCGGCGGAAGTAAGGCTTTATTTACTTGAGTGTGGTTGGTAGGGTGTGTGAATGTCTCACATTAGATGGACAGCAGTTTGAACATTCCACCTAAAGTCACATGGTGTGCTTGAGTGTGGTGTTTGTTATGTTACAGAATTACATGCTTATGATTTTGTAATTACAAAAGATTATTTATGCTGGACCCTGTAAAATAATTATATACCACATAATTATATAATGTATAATTTATAACAACTATTAACATATAGGTTAATAACACTATATTTTGAGGAGAGAATCATGCTGAAAAGAAACAGATTATACGCATAGAGTTTTAAATGATTTGGTTAATATCTTATAGGCAGCAGATACTCTTTAAAGATTTTCTTCACATTGACTGGTGTTGCTCAGTGGATTGGGTGCTGGACTGGGAACCAAAAGGTCTCCAGTTCGGTTCCCAGTCAGGGCCCGTGCCTGGGCTGTGGGCCAGGTCCCGGTTGGAGGTGTGTGAGAGGCAACTGGATCACATCACTGTTTCTCCCCCCTCCTTCTCCCTGCCTTCCCCTCTCTCTAAAAACAAATAAGTAAAACCTTTAAAAAATCCCAAGGACATTAAAAAAAGTTTTTTCATTTGATGCACATGAAAGAATAAATGTAACATTATGTAAGTTTTAATGTAGTCAAATTTATAAGTATCTTCATGGTTCATGCACTTTTTGGCTTGTATAAGAAATCCGAATTAAAATAACAACTGTCCTAAAATTTTATCTAGAAATTTTTAAGTTTGGTCTCTCATATTTAAATTTTAATGCACCAGAAGTTACTTTTGCGCATCATGTGAGCTAAGGATTGATTTCCATTCTCCCATGTGGCCCACCAGGCCCCCGCGCCCCCCCCCCCATGCCCCGTGACGTGCAATGGCACCTCTGCCCTGCGTTCAGTCTCCCCTGTGCCTCAGCCTCCCAGTTCTCTGTTGCTGGACAACTGTGATGGGATTTGCAGTACAATTATGTTAAGTCTGGGGAGCAGTTTCGGGAGAATTGACATCGTTATAGTATTGAGTCTTTAAATTCTTACTGCCCCTATTTATTAATATTATACTAAACGTACACGCAGACTTCAAGAACAGAGCAGATTGTTGTGATTTACAGTCGTCCCCCTGATCCACGGGGTGTGTTCCTAGACCCCCAGTGGGTGCCTGAAACCGTGGGTAGGGCTGCCCCCCCGTACATATCAAGTGAAGTAAGGGAGACTTGAACATGAGCCCTGCGGTGCCCTGACAGAGGGCCAAGCAAGCCGGTAAGTGACTCACCACCGTGCAGTGGCTGTAGCCAGGACACACCGGACCAAGGGGTGACTCTCACCCCGGGCAGGGCAGAGCATGATGGCGTGTGACTTCATCACACCATTCGGAAGGGCAGGCAATTTAAAACTTCTAAATTGCTTCTTTCTGGAATTTTCTATTTAATGTCTTCGGACCTGGGTTGACTAAGGATAACTGAAATCGCCAAAAGGGAATCCATGAATAAAGGGGGAGACTGCTCTACGTAGAGCCAAAAATAGCTACATGGCTCCCTGGGTGTCGGTCTTGCTTTGGGGCAATGCATTGATTGCTGGGCGGTTAAAACCTGACCCCCACACATGCAGAGTCTGTACTGTAGCTTAGGAGCTCCGGGAAAGTGAATTGGCACGTGTGTAAATAGAGAAGAGAGGCAGACTTCCTGCCCCCCCCCCCCCCCTCCGCCCTTCTGAGACTCTCCTGGAAACCTAAGGAGACGGATCCAGGACACTTGGGAATATTTGAAATAAATCACTCAAGTGGAAAGGTTTGCCCAGAGTTGCCAGCTTTATAAAGAGGGTCTGTCCCTGGTCGGGCTCTTAACTCTCTCTCTGCTCCTTTTTGAAATGGGAACACGTCCGGGAATTAAATGTCTTTGGATTTTCTCACTATCTAAATTATACATAAATTACTTTAAAAGTCTTTCCCAAGTCTCTAGTTTCAGTAATATTTACTTAGAAAGACCTAACTGTATAAAAACATAAAAGTATTTTCTCTGCATTTCATAGTCTTTTTATCTACAAGCATGCCCCATGGCTCCATATCTTTAAATTCCTTTAAAATGTTTTTCTGTAAAATTGTATACCGGTCCTGTTTGCTTTTTCTTGAATTTATTATCCTGTCTATTTTTTGGTATTTTAGATGGTATCTTTAAAAATTACGTTTTTCCTGATTTTGTTCTAGCAGTGTTGCTAAACTCTCACTAACTGTAATAACATACTTAAGACTCTTTCAAGTTTTCTGCAAATAATGACAGTTTTGTTTCTTCCTTTTTTATTTTTACGGCTTTTCTCTCCTTCCCTTTCTTACTGTACTGGTGCAGACCTCCAATGCTATGTGGAATGGAATTGGTGATAGCAGACACTCCTGTCTTATTCCTGATTTCAGAGCACGGGTCTCTCGTATTTCACCACTAATGTTTTCTGTATGTTTTTGGTAAATACTTCTTATCAGGTCAAGGAAGTTATCTTCTGTTTGTTTTGTGCTAATCATTTTGATCAATAATGGGTATCAAATTTATTAGATGTGCTTTTTATGCACACTGTTGTAACAAGTTACTAGGACTTACTAATATTTATTAACGGAATTATATGATTGTTCTCCTTTAATAAGTTCATGTACCGAGTTACACTTACAGACTTTTTAACATTAAACTCTTCAGCCTATCTGGGTTAAATATAAATTGCCCATCTCTTTTCTCCTAAATAAAATGAGAGTACAGGTAACACATAGCATCAGTTCTAATAGCATTATTTTAAGTGCTCTACATATATTAGATCATTTAATCTGTGTAAGTATCCTGTGATTCTCATTTTACAAATGATAAGACTGCGCACAGAGAGTTTAGTGCATTTGTTCAAGATCATAATAGAGCTAGAAAGTGATGGGGCTGGAATTTCAACACAAGGACTCTAGTTCCAGAAGTCATGCTTCTCACTTCATATGTCGCTGGAACCGATTTGGTTAGGATTTTTTAAATTTATTTGCATCAGTAAGATTAGCCTGTAATTTGATTACCCTTACCTTTCTGGTCTTTTCTTGATACTCAAGATTCTACTGGTCTCATAGAGTGAGTTAGGTAGCATTGCCTCTTTTTCTGTTATTCAGAAAAGTTTGTATAAGAGGAACATGTCATACCTTGAAACACTGGAGGAATCAACTGCAAAACCACGTGAGCTTGGAGATGCTCTCCTGCCGGGGGTGGGAGAGCTTTATCTATTTAGCTCTTTCAGTTGTTACAGGACTATTCAGGCATTTTATTTCTTCTTGAAATACTGTTGGTAAACTGTACATTTGTAGGCATTTGTTCATTTCAGGAGTTAACAAACTCATTGGCATGAAGTTTTTCCATGTGTTCTTTTATTATCTTTTTTGGTCTCTCCTAGATTTGTAGTTATAACCTCTTTCCTAAGAACTTCCTTGTGCATTTATTCCTGCTCTGTTTGAGCTCATCAAATGTTTGCTGTTTTATTATTTTTCAAAGAACCAGCTTTTGGTTTTGTTGATCCTCATTATTCTCACATGTCTTTTTCATTCATTTATGCTCTTTATCTTCTCATATTTGGAGGTAAGAGTTAATGTGTTGCTCTAGCTCTAACTTTTTATGTGGAAATTCATCGCAAGTCAAGCATTTTTTTTAGTTTCAATATAAGTATTTCAGGCTTATAAATTTTCTGCCAAATAGCCCTCCTACTGCAAGTTTTACAGTGCACTAAACATTCTTAGTTTTTAAAAATACTTAACTATTTTTATGATCTTTCTTTTTGACTGAATTGTGGAATTTTGTCTTTTTATTTTTGATTTCTCTTTAAATGGTAATGTTATTAATAGTACTTGATCTGTGTAATATCTGTTCTTTGAAATTACATAACTGCTTTATGGCTTATGCTGTTCCATTTTAAGTGTTCAGTATGTACGTGAGAAGAATGTGTTCTCAGTATTGGGAGCTAGCTTCTACATATGGAACTTGTTAATTGAGCTTTTCAGGTGTTATTTTTTATATGCACAGATATACATTAAATATCATAAAATCTTTATTTTAACCAGTACATCTTGTATTCCTGTGCTCTTTATTCATTTGTAGAAACCAAGGTACCAGCAGGTTAAATACGCTGTTCCTTTGCATGAGGCATTGAGACCATGAACAGGGCGGCATGCTCTCAATAGCTGTTCCAAAGTAGTTTCTTTCTTTTTAATGTTATCCTAAGGTGAATAATCTTGGCTCCTCTTGACTTCATGATAGCAACTTTGACGGGCAAATTTGGCCCCCAGGTTGCAGAATTGGTAACTTATATTCTTTTTACAAAACTGTAGGAACTAGTCCAGGCTAGTGAGCGATTAAAAAACCAGTCCAAAGAGCTGAAAGATGCACACTGCCAGAGGAAACTAGCCATGCAGGAGTTCATGGAGATCAATGAGCGGCTCACAGAATTGCACACCCAAAAGCAGAAACTTGCTCGCCACGTCCGAGATAAGGAAGAGGAGGTGGACCTGGTGATGCAGAAAGTTGAGAGCTTAAGGCAAGAACTGCGCAGAACAGAAAGAGCCAAAAAAGAGGTTAGTAGTCAGGCCAAGTCTCCAGTGTCCATGCGGCAGCGACACAAGCTGCTTTTTACGGTGAAATACTACGTATTGCACTCTTTAACTTCTGAAAAAGGTTGTTTTTTTAGTTTGGTAATATTGTTTAATGTGAATTTCAAGATTCGTGTTATCTTCCTGTTACAAGGTAAATGCCCATGGGGAACCCGTATTATTGGAAAAGCAATTATAATGGTAAATCTGCTTTTTTCATTTTATGTTAAAGCTGGAAGTTCATACAGAAGCTATAGCTGCTGAAGCGTCTAAAGACAGGAAATTGCGCGAACAGAGTGAACACTATTCTAAGCAACTGGAAAATGAGTTGGAGGGACTAAAGGTACCGTTTGATTGCATCTTTATGAAGCTGAATTAATTTTCTCTTCTTTAGGCCTAAGTGGAGTGTTAGTCATGTGCTCTCTTGGTGTAGAGTAAAAATTAGCTACCCTCCCAACCTAGTGCTCTTAATTCTCATTTTTACCAGTAGAAAGCTGATACTGACTTCCCATTCTTGGTGGAAGGAAAGGAGGATGGTGTTTAGTGGGAAGAAAAAAACCTATCAAGAAAGAGTTCAGACATTTATGCAGGACTACATACCTGGACAAGACCTATTGGTAATTTGCCTGGGAGGCGTGGTTAGATATCCAGCCCTCTGTCTCGTGAATGACCTAGGGGGGCTCACAGGTAGCTTTGTAAGTACTTGGTTAGGGGAGGCAGATCACAGTGTGCGTGGACTAACACATCTCAGCAGAAGCGCTTAACACGGGAAACCGGTGCCAGCTCTAGAGAGTCGGACTGCCTGGTTTCCGCCCCTAGCCTCCTCAGTTACTGGCTCTGTGATGCCACACGCAACACTGAACCTCTCTGGGCCTTAATTTCTCATCTGTAAAACCCTGCCTCATTTGCTTTGTGTAAGGAGTTCATACATATGTGTGTAAGTTGACATATCATAATTGCTCTGTAGTTATTACTGTAATAACGCGTACTTCAAAGGGAGAGCATTGGGATTAAATTAACATCGTATTTCTACAACACTAAATTATAATCTGGATGTGGTATGTGCCCTTTCTCGACTCAGACCTTTGCGTATCCTATTTCTTCTGCACTGCCCGTCCCGCCTCCACCCACTCCTGGTATAACCACGCCCAGTCCAGAGTTCTATTCATCCAGCAGATACAAGATCGAGCATGATCTCAGGAAGTCTCGGTATTCCTTATTCTGTGCTGATACAGGACTCTGTTCATAACTTTAGCGTGGCTCTTGCCCTAGCCCAATGGCTCAATTGGGTGGTTGCGGCTTCAGTTCCCAGTCAGGGCACCTACCTAATGTGTGGGTTTGTTCCCACGTACAGGAGACAACCAATCAATGTTTCTCTCTCGTATTACTGATGTTTCTCTCTCTAAAGTCAGTAAACATATCCTCATGTAAGGCTTAAAAGAAAGTTACACTATATATTGAAAAAGAAATCGACCGTAAATGGAGCTATGCAATTCAAACCTGTGTGTTTGAGGGTCAGCTGTAGCTGTAAAAGCTCTCAAATCAGTAACCTAACATTTAGCTTATGAAACTAGAAAGAGAAGATGAAAGGGAACTCAAAACTAGCAGAAGGAAGGAAATAAAGGTTACAACAGAGTTTTAAAAATGAGAATAGAAAAATAATAATGAAACCAAGTTGATTCCTTAAAAGAGCAACAAAATTAACAAACCTTTAGCTAGACTTATAGATAGAAGGATTAAGCAAATAACATCAGAAATGAAAGTGGATACATTACTATCTGTTATCAGAAAGCAAAAGGATTTTAAGGCAATACTATGAATAGCTCTGTGCCAGAAAAGTAAGTATGCTAGATGAAACAGACAAATTCTGGAAGCACACAGGCTACCTAAACAGACTGAAGACAAAGTAGGAAATTTCAACAGACCTATAACAAGTGAAGAGATTAAATCAGTAATAGGAAAATTCCTGACAAAGGAAAGTCCAGCACCAAATGGCTTCATTAGTGACGTAAACCAAATATTGAAAGAAGAATGAACTCTGATTAAACTCTTACAGATAAAACAGGAGTAGGGAGCACTTTCTAATTCATTCTGTAAAGCCACCCCCACTCTCATACCAAAGCTGTATTAACAACATAGCACAAAAAAGAAAATTATATGCTAGTATTTCTAAATATAGATGCATAAATTCTCAACAGAATACTAGTAAGCCAAATCCAAAACTGTTATTAAAAGGATTACACACCGTGAGAAAATGAGGGTGGCTCAATGTAAGAAAATAAAGTGTAGTGTATCACATTAATAAACCTAAAGAAAAAGTACGATCATCTGAAGTGATCCGTATATGTCATTTCAGAAAAACCAACATCTTTTCATGATAGAAACTCTCCGAACACCAGGAATAGAAGTGAATGTACTCAATATGATAACAGGCATTTATGAAAAACTCAAAGCTAACATCATACTCAATGGTGAATGGCTAAAAAAGTTTCTCCCAAAGACTAGGAATAAGATCAGGATGCTCACTTTTACCACTGCTATTTAACATTATACTGTAGGTTCTTGCCAGAGGCATTGAACAAGAAAAAAATGGAGAGACATTCAAACTTGAAAGAGAGAAGTAAAACTATCTCTATTCACAAATCACATTATTCTATATGTTTAAAAATCCCTGAGAGTACTACTAGCTCCGAGTCGAGCATATAAGAAGCTTGGAAGTCTCCACTGTGTCCTAACAAGTAAAAACCTGAATGGAGAAACCCACAACTCTTCTTAGATCTGTAGAAATGACGTCACAGAAGAAACCATTGCCCCCAAATTGGAGAGACTGCAGGGCAAATACAGAGAATCACAACTTACTTAGCAGAGCAGAGGACTTTGTAGCAGTCATTGCCAGCGTACGGAGACCTGAACTGTAATGGAGAAAGGGCTGGAGGCACCAGTGTGAATAAGACCGGGAGTGAAAGGCCAGGGGAACCCAGGTGTCAGGGACCCCCCAGTCTTTTGATTTTTCTCTCCCGGAGCTCCCCGAGGTTTGCACAGGGGGTGTCTGTGTGCTCACAGTAGGGGAACCATTTCCACAGCATTTTTCTTCACAAGGTCTGTCCTCAGGAGAGACTCTGCAACCAGAACCTGACTGGTGGGGGTATATCAGCACAGAACTGCCTGGAAGGAAGGGAAATAAGCTAATCACAGCCCACCCGAGCTGTCGTGTTCAAACTAGCGAGAAGGGAGGAGAAAAACTGGAAGAGTCCTCTGAAGTTCATAGTCCAGAGGCAGAGGCTCTGATCCATAAATCTGATCTTAGGACAGTTTACTACCACATCATTAAAGCCTGTTATAACAAAATACACACAAATGTACGTGGGGAAAATTACACAACTCTGATGAAAGAAATCAAAGGAGAACTAAATAAACGGAGAGATATTCCACATTCACGGATAAGAGACTCATTGTCCTCAGATGTTAGTTCTTCCCAACTGTGGATGTGACGCAGTCCCAGCAGGTTCTCATGTGGACGTCAGCGAACAACCTCAAGTTTACATGGAGAGGCAAAATCCCCAGCGTAGCCAGCACTGCACTGAAGGAAGAGGACACGGTTAGAAGACGGATACTGCCTGACTTGAGGACTTAATGCTGAAGCTGCGGCAATCAAGACAACGTGATATGGGCAGAAACACACACAGATAAGTCTGCTTTGACGGAGGAGCAAGGGCAGTACCGTGGAGCAGAGGTGGTCCTTTCAACAAATGGTGCTAGATTGGGGAAATTCTCCTTTATTATTTGTTCAAATAAGTTTTCCACTGGTGGCTGTGCCTTTCCCCCTTCTGGTACCCCTATAATTCGGATGTTGGAATGTTTAAAGATGTCCTGGAGGTTCCTAAGCTTCTCCTCATTTTTCTGAATTCTTATTTCTTCATTCTTTTCTGTTTGATCATTTTTTTGTTCCTTCTGGTCCACTCCCTTGATTTGAGTCCCAGTCTGGCAAAGGAAATAGACTTCCAGGAAATCCAGGAAGCTCAGAGAGTCCCAAAGAAGTTGGACCCAAGAAGGAACACACCAAGGCACATCATCATTACATTAGCCAAGATTAAAATGAAGGAGAGAATCCTAGAAGCAGCAAGAGCTAAGGGGACAGTCACCTACAAAGGAGTTCCCATCAGACTGTCAGCTGATTTCTCAAAAGAGACCTTACAGGCAAGAAGGGGCTGGAAAGAGGTATTCCAAGTCATGAAAACCAAAGGCCTACAACCAAGATTGCTCTACCCAGCAAAGTTTTCATTTAGAGTGGAAGGACAGATAAAGTGCTTCTCAGATAAGACCAAATTCAAGGAGTTCATCATCACCAAGCCCTTATTCTATGAAATGTTAAAGGGACTTATCTAAGAAAAAGAAGATAAAAAAGATGAACAGTGAAAGGACAGCAAACTCACAGTTATTAACAACCACACCTAAAACAAAAACAAACTAAGAGGACAGCTAGATCAGGAGCAGAACCGTAGAAATGAAGATCACATGGAGGGTTAGCAACAGGGGAGTGGGAGGAGGAGAAGGGGGGGAGAAGGTACAGAAAATAAGTAGCATAGACAGTAGATAGAAAATAGATAGGGGGGAGGGTAAGAATAGTAGGGGAAATACAGAATCTAAAGAATTTGAGACACGTGTTCATGAACTAAAGGGGGAAATGGTGGGGGAGGGGTATGCAGGGTGGAGGGGAATGGAGGGGGGAATAGAACAAATGTAATGGCATAATCAATAAAAAAAGTTAAAAAAAAAAACAACGGTGCTAGAAAAACTACACATCTAAGTGAAAAAAAGATCTAGATACATGCCTTCATAAAAATTAACTCAAAATGGACCCATGATACATGTAAAATCTACATTTTTTACTCCCACAAGATAATATAGGGAGAAAACCTTGATAACTGTTGGTATGGCAGCAACTTTTCATATATAGCATGGAAGGCACACAAAATCAAACAATGGGTATGTTGGACTTTGTTGAAATTGAAAGACGCTGCCAAGAGAATGAAAAGATGAGACGTAGACTGTGAGAAAACACAGATAAAAAGACTGTTACCCAGAATTTACGAAGGACTCTTAAAACTCAGCAATGAGAAAACAAACGAGAGCAACAGGGCTGCCGGATCACCGCATGATAATTAGTTGTGTTCTGTGTGCCGGCGGGGGGCAGTCCTCAGAGGAGGTTAAGAAAGCACTTCCAGTTAATAATAGCATCAAAAAGAGTAGGTGCCTCAGAATAACTGTAACCAAGAAGGTTGATGACTTGTGTGCCTAAAGTTACAAAACATTGCTGGGAAAAACTAAAGGAGACCTTAATGG